GGCGGGCCGGGCCGGGCCGGGCCGGGCCGGGCGTGTGTAACCCGGCAGGAAAGCAGTGCCCTCGCAAGCAGTTGTGGTATCCTGCCCCTACGGGAGGGGCGGCTACCGCTGAGCTCTCAGTTCGTGTCTTTGTGCTGATGCAGCATGCTTTGGGGCTTTGTTTTGGGTTTGTTTTGTTTTGTTTTGTTTTGTTTTTTCCTTTTAAGCTGGAGTTGTAGCCGTTCATACCCAAGCGAAGCCAAGAAATAAATCTTGCCTCATGCCATCGACCAGAAGTTCTGTGCGCTGCACGTTACAAGAGGGTGCTTCCAGATGTACCAGCCATACTTTAAAAAAACGTTTTTCATTTGGCCTACTTCAGGCTTTAGAACCAAATTTCATTTAGTCCTCATTTTGAATTAATATCACACGTTTCTCAATACCCATCCCTTTACATTTTTTGTAGAAAGCGTAATTTTCTTTGCAGATTTAATTGCCATATCTCCTGCAATTCCTATTAAAAAAAAATGTTGTTTCCAAAGTAAAAGTTTAAAAATATCCAAAATTCTTCCACCTTTGCCTCTTACCATCAGGGACAAACACTTTTCAAGTATTCTGTACTCTCTACAGCTACAGGTTTTAAAATCTGCAGGATATGTACCGCATACATCCGAGTAGGTCCAAGATGATGCGGTCATGACCTTTACGATAATCCCGACTGAGCACTAAGTACTCTTTTTCTCTCAAATGCCCGATAGCCAGGGTAAAATACAACTGCATGAGCTGTGGTCTCAGACGACATGTATTGCACAAATAGCCCACTATAGGAACAACAAGTTGTGGAGAAATGGTAAAACCATCTTTACGTGTGCAAACAAAGGACCCAGGCACATCTGCTGTTGCTGACACAGTTGTTCATTGTGATGAGTGCTCTGAGTACCTCAGTCATTTGCAGTCTGTTGTATTTATTTGTGCTGTAATTATGTTCCTTCAGCTGAAGTAGTTTTGAGAAAGTGTTTTGCAGAATAACAGCAGTGGGTTTGTATCTGCCATACTAATTCTGGAGTTTAAATTCAAGCAAATGAAAATACACAATTGTAATGTTCAGGTATTCCCCATAAATATCTTTCATCACCCGTAAGACCCTTTTCTGAAATCTGAAGTTATCTTTCTTATATACAGACCTAACAGTGATCCTGTTTTCCATTGTGTGTGCCAGAGTACTAGGAAAAATGAAACGTAAGCTACACAAAGGCTGCTTGTTCGCTTATTCTTCCTTGTGTATCACATTTTCAGCTCCTTAGCCTGCCATGCAGTCTGTTAGCCCTCTTCTTCATCTGTTTGTGAAGGCTCATTTTCTGACCCTCTTTCCTTTGGCCAGCCCTCAAAGCACTTACTTCCTCGTTTCCTTTGACAGTTGTTTCCTTCCTGCCCCTGGGACCTTCTCCCCCAGCTGTAGGCCCTTTCCTGCCCGTTCGCAGCCTGAAATAAAATCTAGCCCCACTCCTCTTTTTAGCTCTGTGAAGGAGAAGGTTGCTGTGACATTTGCAGAGTGCCTGTCATGCCAGCCTCTTCTTGCATGGATTTACCCTAAGCAACCCGTGTGAGTGGTATAGTGGGTGTCTGAGCTAGAAAAGCCACTGCACAAGGAGGAGGAAGAGCGCTGGGAGGAAGAAGTTTCAGAGGGGTGTTCACTTGGATGCTGGGCTTGGGGCAGGGACCTCAGGGTCTTCTGTTTCGCATGCGCTAGAGTAATGGTTGAGGCGTCCATCCCACCCATCACACCTGACAGGAGACGGGAAACAAGGAAACTGGGAGCAAACGCCGGGGGCGCATCCCCACCTGGAGCGAGCGTGTGGCCAGCACAGCTCGTTGGAGTCAGCGGTTGGCAAGTGGTCGTGGTTCCAGCAGTTAAACACAATCGCTGTGACCGGGCGAGCCCCGCTACAGCCACGTCTGGCCTGTCGGATCACACTCTCGGTGATGGCGGCAGGCGGCTCCGCGTGTTTTTTTCTGCCTCCGCGCCCTGGGAAAAGCCTTCCTGGCCCTCGTCTGAGCATGCTGGCCCTGAACTCTGGCAGCCCTAAAGCCCTTTCATGGCCAAGTCATTAGATCCATTTTATTTTGTAATACGAGATCTCATTAACACCTCTCAAATTTTTAAGTGCCAGATCAAAACTAGCTAATTTTCAAGACCACCAGCTGGAAGAGGAGGTCCCCAATAGAGGGGAAAATACACATGAGTATTTCACAAGAGATTTCTCAAGTGATTGTAATTTTTAATGACTGGATAAAGTAGCATGAAACACTGTTATGGTACATAAATGTCTGAGATTTTTGGAGTTTATGGGCTTCAGAATGTTTAAATGTGATATTATTCCACAAAACTGCTATTCGTATACTATTAATATAAAAATAAAATAATGGATAGAAATATTGCTGAAGGGGAGTCTAACAATGACCTTCTTTTAGAAGATTGTTCTCATTTCCTTTTGATTTTCTCAAGCTTTAACAGTTTAGGCTTAAATTTTCCATGCTAGGTGTCTGAGGGAGATTTTTAAGTATCAGCCAAAACAGTTTAGCTGTTGCTGAAAACTGAGGTAAATACATTGCTTTGTCACTGTTAAAATATGCTTACATGGGATGGAATTTGTAATTTCCTTTATGTTGCTCCTAAAAATCTGTAAATTGGTTATATTCATAAATTCTATTTTGAAAGGACATTAATTTTCAATGGAAAGCACCAGAAGGTTAAGAATTATGAGAACTGAAGTTGTCCGTTCTACTTTAATTTTGTTCTTTTCATGTGTATGCACTATGGTGTGGTCCTTAATTACCTGAGCTATTTTTTCAACAGAAGAGAAGAATTCAGGCTGAGTAGCAGATTAGTTTATTATCTAGAAAAGTAAAAGCAAACCTTCTGAGCTCTGCAAGCTGCCTGTCACAACCCCTCTGTGACTGACAGCCAAAAGATGCTTCCATATAGCTCAAGGGTGGAGGACAAGGGGAGCTCTAGGAGAAGCTTGCACATGGGAGCTGATTCCAACTCCTTATCAGTCCCAGCAGTCTGCAATGGGATGTGGCCAGGTATCGCAGCGTGATCTATGAGTAGCCCACACAGGTCAGTCTCTGCAGTATGTGCTGCTTCGCTTCATCTGAGGGCGCATGTTTTGGCTCCCAGCCCGTGAGCAGACACTCTCCCTGCAAACACCTGGCCTGGTTAGAAATGCTAGCTGGCCTTTCTCTGAAAGTTACTGCTTCCACAGCTTTGCTAGCAGAATTGCTGAAGTAAGCACTTACCAGCTCATCAAAATGAGTAGCTTAAATACTAGTTCTCTGATAACCAGGCATTTCACTAAAAGAATAAGTGAACACTCACATGCACAGCTCAGCCAGTGGATCTGAGGGTCAGTGACCTTCAACTGGAGGTAATAATGAGAAGCAAGTGGTGCATACCTTTCCCATCAGCACAGCTGGGGCCTGGAGAGAACATCTGTCCTCAAAAACTACAATGAGTCTTCCAGTTCACGGAGATAGTTTTGTCTGGTGCAAATTAGGGATTACTCACATCAACTGTCAGCAAAACTATGGGGGAGTTAACTCCATGGAAGCACAGCTGGATGTGAAAGAGAACAATAGCCTAAGGAACAATGAAATGCTCTTGAATGTGAAATGATACGTAAGTGGTAAGTGCTCTAAAGCGGTAGCTCCTGGGTATCTCCATATGGGCACTCAAAATATATGCACCCTTAACTATTTTGGCTTTACTCTCCATGCTTACGGAATATCTAAAAGATCATGCTGTCATATTTGTGCAGACTTCAAGTTAAGTACCTTGGAAAGGCCAAAGAGGAGTTGGCCATTTACTGCAGAATTTTCCTGGTAGACAGCAGCGTTTCTCAGTCTCCACATATTGCCTGCCTGCTTGTCTGATTTTGCTCATAGTGACAGGGAGCCTTTGCTGTAATAATACAAGGCATAGAAGCCAAATAAAACCTCTTGTATAATGCTGAACTTCAGAGCAGATACACAACATACTCCAGTAAATTCAGTGCCAAAAAAAAACTTTTGTGAAGCTTGATAAAGAAAAACAAAATTGGTCCATTATGTTGTAGAAAGGTGGTCTTCAGGGGGAAAAAAAGGCCTCAAAGCATGGCTGCTGACGTTCCTTATCACTTGCAAGAAAGAACAGACACTGGATTCTTTTAGAAGGTTTTGGCAAGATCCATGAAAAGGGCAACTGCTCTGTAATTCAGCTGCCTCCATTTGTGAGTGTCCTGCCACCACCAAGCACACATTACCGAGTATGACCTCTCTAGCGCTCGCCAGCCAGACGGCTTCCAAGCCAAACAACACATTAGAAGAATCTCTCTTACTTCCTAAGTGAGTTCCCAATCACGCTGATTTCTCAAAGGATTCAGCTTTGGAGAATTCACCAGCAACCAAGAAGACACAAGTACTATCTAAAAGGAAAGTTAGCATGAGTCAAACAATTGTTCTCATAGGAAGAGGCAAGATGAGCTCCTAGGGCTTGTTCCTTCTATGAGAATTTACATTTGGTTTCCTGCAGCAGACTCCTGAAAGGTTATAATCTTACCACCACCAATAAAAATATTAACTGTGATGACTGAACTTAAGAAGGAGGGGAGAAGAACAGGAAGCTCCAAATCCCCACCCTCTTGCCAACAAGGACCCAAGTCCCTCCTCTGTGTCTACATAAAAGTTAAACAACCATGAAACAACTATAGTTTTCCTGTCTTGTGACCTATGTTATCAAGGTCTCCTTTTGGAAAAAATTATCCATCTCTCTGCCTTATGGGGATATTTTTAGCGACAGTAATTATGAGGCATATGAAAAATAAATCCTCAACCATGAAAATAACAGAGGAAACAAGCTTTATTATTTGAAATTTTTGTGCGTGGTAAAGGTACACATTTGACTCTGGTTTTCCTACATTTCCAAGACAGAGTAAATTTTGTTTTTATCATCAGCTAAAGCATTGAAAATACTGTGGCACGCATGAAGCTAAAACTACACACACACAAACACTTCGATGCACATCTTTCATCCTTGACCTTAAGGAGGCAAAGTTTGTATTTAGCCTCACAGGGGTTTTAAAAAAAAAAAAAAAAGAAAACAAGTGACAGAATATTTCATTATCAGTTTTCAGACAGTGCAAGACTTACATGTGTACAAAATATATGAAATCAATTACAAAGATGGAATGTACAAAAACTTTTAGAAAGGGGAAAAAAAGAAGAAAAAAAAAGAAAAAAGAAAAAAGAAAAAAGACAGACTCCCAGAACCGGAAAGCTACAGTTTATCAACGGGTACAGATTTCTAACACAGGGATACTGCCATACACTATGCAGCTTATGGAACATTCCCATGTCATAAAGCCAAAGCAAGAGTGTCCGGGTTAAGGCCGTGTTGCTCACAAACATCAATTGAAGTGCTGTACATTCATCAGAAATAACACAACCAATTAGGCATCATCCTACTCCACAATACCTTTCACACACTCTCCACAAACAGACCGAAACAATCACTGCTCACAATTCTTAAGAAAATTTTCAATGTACATCATGATTTCATAACTAGCTGTCACCCACAACTGCAGGTCATTTCTTTATAACAAACACAACACATTGGGCACTTATAGTTCTCAGTATGGCAACACTAGATCCTTAGTTATAAAAAATATTGACATAAAATTGAAAGCCCTCTAGCTTTTACAGAACAGTAGAGTATTTACTAATAAATAACTCTCCATCTACATGAGACAAATGCTTGCCTTAAGCCATTTTCCTTTCCTTTTTCAGCTACTTTGCTGCTGTTTAAACCTATGTAAAATCCCCTACTGTTTGTATTGGATTTAACTGAAAAGATCCTTTTACTCTAGTCAAAAAAAAAATGAAACTACAGTTGGGTAGTTTGTCCTAAAATACTCCAAATTACACAAGATCTGATAACCTTCTGAGATTACTTTTGAGTTGAAGATTAGTTAAGTGAAGCACATACTTTGAACATTCATGCTGCGCTGCTCGTCAATTAACATTCCCGGGAAGTCAAAGGAACATTTGGTTATACCTGAAATTTGGCAGCAGATTGCCTATAAAGCCTTTAATAAACGCTAACAACTCAGTAAAGCAAGTAGTGCAATTCTGACGTTCACTTAACTGGATGCAAAAAATCTGTCACTTTTTTAGAACAGAATTTCTGCTTTGGTTGCTCATTGTAAGTTTTGTAAGCCAAGCATTTTAGCTAAGTTGGCTTCAAAAGTACACTGTAAAAGCAATGCGTTTCTCAGTCTCCCTGTGCCAGGCAGATAAGGTCAACCTTTGGAAGGGAATACCCTATACCACTGAATTTAAAATTGTAATTGATAGCATTCACTATGTGAAGGAATTCCAAATGAGTGCCATTTTTCAGGTGCAGTGTGTGTTGCTCTGGTGATAGAGTCTGAAAATTCAACGAGATGGAAAAAAAATCTTCTGTGGAAAAACTCACATCCCTGCTAATGTCTGTTAGCTTGGGTGCAAGGGGGTTGTGTACAGAGTTCCATAGTTCATCAGGATGCAGTGGGTTGACAGAGGTTTTAGAAAATGCTGCTAAACAATACTGAGTTAAAGGAATTCAAAATCTTTTGAAGGAAAGTGTATGCATGGAATAGTATAGTCTTAAGTATGTGTTTTGACATATAACTTAGGGTCTGATTCCTGTTGTCCTCAGAGTTCCTGGCAAAGGAGGATTTGGCCATGTTTTTTGAGTGGAAACCATTCAAGTTTAGTAAAATTATTACAGAAATCTAAATCTGAAACCAAATTTGATTACTATTATCCATAACTGATACCAAGAGCACACTTCTCATTTTCTTTCAAGTTTCTACCTCAGAGAATCAGTGCAAACCTTTTTTCTTTGTTAATTAAATACACTTAAAATGCTACATCTTTTTCATTGATAAATATATCATTTAAGTGCATTCCAATGTCAGAAATTACATGCGTGTCAGAGAGTTGCTTACAAGAACACTTGGAATAAAATTACTTGATCATCATAAAATTTGATTTACCACTTCACACAATTTTGAGAGGACAGTTTCTTATGTAGTAACTGGGGTGACTATATCTTCTTTGGAATTTTAGGACAAACTCACTTCAAGCAGAAGATATCTTGTTCTCTTGGTAATAACAGACTTGAATTTTTACATTTCAAAAATGTTACTATCAGTTTCTTGACCATATTGTACGGTCCAAACCTTAAGCCTTTTACACAAAACAATTATTCCAACAAAGTAAGGAGACTTGTCTTTGAACATAAATTTGTAAAATTGGCTCTATATGCAAAAAATAAAAACGGGAAAGAGAAGGAAACATTTCTAAGAAATAGTAATTAAAAAAACAGACAAACTACACATTTATGAATTTCAGGGTCTGCATTTTCACAAGTCAAACACATCTTTACAGAAAATCATTAGTTTTTCCTCAAATTAATTGCAATAACCTTAACCTTTTAGAAAAAAGATAAATATTTATAACAAATAATTTCACAACAATTTCTTTCAGTTTTGCAGACATGCTTAAAATACTCCCCTGCTCCTGACCCAATGCCCTTTTGTTTCAAATCCCTAAAAATTAGAAAAGAAAGATTCTTCTTCCCAGACTATTTTGGGCATTGGCAGCAAGCCAACCAGCTCCTCAGATGAGGTCTAAGAGTAAGCACCCCTCTATATTAGGGTATGGTACAATACATCTTTTGACCATTAAGTTTAGAATTAACAATAAAAACAATACTACTTTAAAAAGGACAAGTACATACTTAAAAAAAAAACATTAAAAACAGAACCAAGTAATATGATTGTAAGGATTTCCAATTAAATCAGTACTTCAACAAAGAACATAGTAGAGATATCTGGCAAGCAGAAGGAGGGACGTTTTTCAGAGTACTGCCATTGTCACATGGCATATATACGTTCCAGTTTACTGAAATAACCCGAATTTACTTTATTTTTGCATCAATCAGTCATACATACATACATACATACAAACAAACGGGAACAAATGCCGCAGTCCTTATTTTGTTCTCTAACAAAACTCCCTTTGTGAAGGACTTCAGGAACTGGCTCAAATTCATTCTTATTTCTAATGTATTTTTCCTCATGTCAAAAACAAATAGCTTTGGTAACCCTTGGCTTTCTTATACAACCTCTGTTAACCATAGTTCCTTTGGTTGTATAACGTAGGTCCTCCATAGGGGTACCTCTCTGGCTTTCTGTCCTGTGAGATGCTGTATTTTATTTGCTAATACAAATGAGTTGCCTTAAGGAAACATGGCAATGAACATACACAGAAGAGTGGCACACATGAGGTTAATCAAGTTGACATTGTAATAATCCTGATCCTAATGAACTAGTTTGGTGTCAAAAGGTCTGTCGTTCTACAGAAATTCAGCTCTCACTAATGTATCATTACAATGAAGGTTTTCCAGAGCTTTAGAAATGTCAGGTCTCTGCAAAGTCCTTACAGCACATTAAGCAAGAGGGAGAGTGAAAAATAAGCACATGAAACAATCCTTCATTAATCCCACATAAGTAGGGAATTTGCATTGATTCTCATAGTGCTAAACGTTGAGCTGTGTTAGGTCTGGTGGTTAGAGCAAGACGGATTTTGTATGACTTAACATTATACCTTTACTAAAAGGACCTACTTGTTATACTTATTAAGACAGAAGAATGTTAAAAGTGTAATACCTACCATGATAATGAGATCTAGAAGATTCCCAGGATCCCCTCTGGGTTAAATAATGCATAAGTGATACTTTTTCAAATTTGGAAGCTCTAAACAGGAGCTACCCTTCGCAGTCTTCAAAAACCTTTGGGGATTTTTTTCCCCAAATTTTTCTCATTTTTGCCTGATTAGTTAATTCCAGTTCCATAAGTTTCAGTTTTTATTTAATATCACATTGTCTTTATGAATTCAGTTAAAGAGGATTTTGTGTGTTAACCCTTACAACAAAAAGTTCAGTGAGGAACGTAAGAGGTGCAAGTCCTATGTAAACAAGGTAAGTTTGGAAATTAACATGAGAAGTCCATAAGAGACTCCTTCATTATTAAAAATGAACTCATTAAAGAAGGAGATATCCCACACTGGATCTCAGGGACCAGTCTTTTCTTAAGGGTGGATGATTATCCAGCTCCAGAGCTCATTGTTACTGTAAGTATCGATAGACCTTGAAGCAGTGATTTCCAGAGTCTGCAACTACCACATGGCCATCTGAAGTTAGGGCCAGACCTTGGGGACCATAAAGTGGGTCAGCAGAGGTGTTAATGTAGGATAAAAATGATCCACTTCCATCAAAAACCTTTGAGGGTGAGAAAGCACAAAAGAAATGTTATGAATAAAAAAGAAAAGCAGCGGACAGAATTCTGCTTTCAGTTATACTATTTTACTTCTTTTTTCTGAAGCTGTTGGCATACACTAGGATAAGCAAGGGTAAAATCTGATCTGCTGTTCTCATAATATGCAAATTCACATGTAAATATATTTTCTTATTAAAAATAACTATTTAAGGCTATCAGGGCCTTTGTCAAGAATTAAATTACAATGAAATAATAATTAAAAAAGCACATCAGTTGTTGCTTGCTCTAAAAATAGCCAACTACAATAAATCAAACTCAATCAGGAACTCAGTCAACATCTCATTTTCCTAACAAATATTACTGTTGTGGCTAGTGTGACTCTCCTAGGCTCCCACGTACAGAAAACCAGAATTTGTTTATCCTGTTGACAGTGGTTCATGAGAACAGCTCATCAGCAGCTCCCTCATTTTTATATTCAGTGAAACTAATATATAAGCTTATTTATTTATTAGATATTCTTTGGCAAATGAGAAAGGACTTTGTGTTTAGCATTTAAAAGATAAAAAGAGTGCAACTCTCATAACATGAAAGCAGAATATTTTCTCAATATTTAAAAGAAGATGATAAAAATCTGTTGTATTTGCCTCAGGGTCTGAACAGATCATTTGCTTTTTCATGTTTTCTACTATGTCTCCCATTTCTGTTATGGTGATTATAAGTAACTATTGTCTCAGCAGTGCTTACAAGTCTCCTAAGTCCTAATAGCTTTTGAGGAACTGCTTGTAGACAAAAGCCTCAGTCACAGTAACTATCAGGCTTGTTAACAGTCACGGAGAAGACCGTGTCTGACACCACCTCTTCTAAAAGCAGACAGACCAGCAATGAGGCATACAAAAGCTGTGAGAGAAACATTTTTTCTCATGCTGCTATCCTGCTTCTTAGGAAGACTGGCTAGGGCTATCAATCCATTATTTTTCCTAATCAAGCACCTCTGAAAAATACAAATGTCTACCTGTATTCGGCTGTTTCCCCAATCTGCTACAATAATATTTCCATTAGAATCTACAGCTACTCCAGTTGGTGCATTGAATTGTCCATTTCCTTCTCCATTTGATCCAAACTTTAGTATGAATTCTCCCTCCTGGTTAAATACCTGTATGGATTAAAACAAAAACTTGAATATAGCATCATGTCAAATATTAGTAATCATCAGCTACCAGTTCACCAATTAACAAAAGTGGGAACTGAGGAGTACTCAAGAACACTGCCCCTGCCACACGCACACCTCCTTCTCAGTGTGGGTTTTTTATAATTCTCATTTCGTTCTCTTGTTTTCAAAATGCTTGGCAGAGTGATATATTTACATTGCAAACAAAAGCAAGTAAGCTTGGGGCAACAGTCACTTATAGCCACAGTTTCAAATAGCTGGTAATTTTACATTTCACTATGCTGAAACACTCGAAAACTTTATGAAAGTTTGAGTTGTGAAGAAGAGATGACATCACACAACAATAAAAGAACAAAGACTTCACTGACAATAGCAGTACTAGTCTACACTGTGAAAACAAGTTAAGTAAAATAAGAAGCATTTCTAAAAACAAGCCAAAATCTTTGGGAGTCTGAAAATGGGATAAGGACAGAGCCCACTCTCCACTCGTGTGTCTTCTCTATAGAACACTACATGGTCTCAGACAGGAGAAAAGGTTTTTATCTCTCCTTCCAGCCCCATTACACCCTACAGAACCTCTCTGCAATTTGTGCATCCTGAATTAATGAGTGGCGTGCAGATATGGTATCTCACCAGTACTGGTAGCCAGTCCCAAGGAAACACAACTGAGCAGATACACTCTTTTCTCTGACTTTCATAGTCTAATAAGCCTTAAGAATCACCACATGCTGCCCTGTGTAGGTGGTTCCGCAACTGCATTTGCTGTGATGGTGGATAACAGGTTTAGGCAGCAGAAAATGGAATCAATGAATGAATATTCTGTCAGTGATCTTGATGCACCAATGGGGCCAAGTGAGACAGAGGACAGATCATTTACAACATATCATAACCATCTCTGTTTGTTTTGGTCCACCTTGGACCCAGGCTCAGCTGGGCCACAAGGTCCAGCAGCATTCTTTGGGACCAGCTATGGCCTGCCCAAGAAAATGCAAGAATCTGAGAAGTGCCAAACACACACTGAAGTGCTCAGAAGGTGGAAGATGTGGGGAAATCATCCCATTCCGGAACACCCACAGTGGACAAAGTTATTTAGGGGTGGAAATTAATTGAGTACCACATTGGCTCCTCAGATGACGAAAAAAAATAGAAAGAAGTCAACCGAAAAAAAACAGACGAAGACGTATCACTCTTCATGGGTTACAATGCGGATGGTCACTGAGAGAACAAGGGAGAGGCTTACATTGGGTAGGATTTTCTAGAGAGGATGCCTGAAGGATGAACACGCTTGCAGGTCAAAGGCGGGGGTGGGGAGGGATAATTTTGCTGAGTGATGATGTTTTTATTCAAGACACTGGTAGCAGGAAGAGGTTCTGGAAGCCATCAGAGTGATGTGAGCGCCCACAACTTATTCTCTGCTTTTTCCAGCAAAAAGTGATAGGCATCACCCAATGTATAAATAACTCTCCAAAGCATCAACAATTATCTGTACCTGTATTAGAGAACACTACAAAAATAAACATCTTTTCCAGTTAGAACCAAATTGGAACAAATAACATTTTTATCCCATTGAGGCACACCAGAGATAGACGGGAATGCTCTGTTCTCATTAGGAATGCAGTAATTTTAAAACCACTAAGATGCCACACTTCTTCCATCTCTTTGCTTGCTTTTGTTCATTTTAGGTTGCCCTTGTTGAAAAATCTCCCCAGTCGTTCTTGTTACCGCAGTAAGCTCTGCTGGTGAAGGGGTAATTTATGGAGTCATAGGCCTCCTGCTGCTAAACTACGTAAACAATCTGCTTTAGGGCTCCTGTAGCAGTCCTGGTTTCTTTGTTGTAATCCAAACCACATGAATTGCTACTTCCTCTCTAATTCCAAAAGCATATAAAAGCAAGGTCACTATTGAAAAGCTAAATGATTCAACACCATTAAAGATGCAATACCACGTTAAGGTGTATATGATCAGCAATATGCAGATAGTGATTTCATATGTCAGATATAAGAGTTATCATTTCAGTTAGGAATACTGATGAGTTGGTTGGGTACATCTTTCTCTTCAACCAGAACAGGCAGTCCTTAAGTTAAATCCTAGGGATTTCACCAGGGTGTGCAACCAGCTCACAAGCCATGAAAACGCACATGCAACAGCATTCTGCTGCCCACGTGGTGCTGGTGCTGCTGCACTGAGCGAGGGAAGAGAGCATGGAACGTGACTGAAAGGGAGTTTTAGGTCCTGAAAATAAACACGCACAGATGGATAACTTCTTATGCAATGGCCTGTAGCTCCGTAACGTACATGTATCAGCACATGACATGTGAACAGTTATACCTGTTCTGACTGGGACAAACAAATATACCGACCTATCTTACCATGACTGTTTAATTTCCTACGAGTCAGGACTCCTTGCAAATGTAAGGACTAGTGGCCAATTCTGCTTAGTGCAGGGTTTACTGCATGAAAACTGATGGTCTGTGTTACACAGGCATTAAGACTATCAGGTCATAAATGGGTCCAGTAATCTTAAAACCTACCAATATGTAACTAAAGATTGTTGTGAGTCTTCACTTTGTTATACTTTTATTCAACTAGAAGTGTGGGAAGCTCTTCCTGAGAAATTCTAAAGCAGGTATCAGACTTTATCTTAAAGTAGGAAAGAGCATACAGTAAATAACAGGTTTAGCAGAGGGCTAATAAACAATAAGTAAGTTGGCATTATTTGTCTCAGCTACGACTTTATGTTTAAGCAATTGAATTAGAGAACATCACAGTGGCACCAATCAAAGACAACTAATTATGTCTCCATCAAGCAATGCACTGCATGCAAAGGTCTCCGAATGCACAGTCCTCATAGGGAAAACCTTCTTTCCTATCAGGCCTCATATCTATATAGCATTATCTCTTTGTTTTTTTAACAATCTTTGTTTTCCCCAGGGAAGTAACATGATGAAATAAAGAGCTTTCCAAATTGGCATTAATTGACAGTACCTTAACAGAATGGTTATGAAAGTCTGTAACAATAATTTCATTGTTGCTGTTTACAGCTGCAAAATGAGGACCTGCAAATGCAGAAGAAGAATAAAATAATAAAAATAATACCATTAAGCCAAAAGGTTTGCTTAAATATAGAAATTATTCAGCCTGCCAGGAGATTATGTTTGACTTCTGAGCAATAATAGTCAAATTGGGCATGTCAGCTTCAAATTAAGAGTAATTTCATTCCATGTTTAAAAAAGGTCAACATGCTTTTCTGTAAACATGAATCATTTCTTTTTCAACTGTTCATCAGTTAGTGTTATCAATCGGCATTGTTCATTCCTTCCTCTCTCATACACAGATGACTATGTAGATATTTATATGCTCATTAACAAGACAAAGCATGTAGTACTTAGGGATAAAGTTGTACACACATTGAAAATGGTTTTCAAAAATATTCATGTAAAGTTTTAAATGAAATCATCTATGCTTTGTGTGCTTCCTTCTCACAAGCATTTAAGCAAACAAATTTTAGGACAAATGTAAAAGTTCCTTAGAAGAAACTAAGTCAGGCTCTAAGAAACTGAGAAATAAGTTTCGCAGAAACAAATTCGGTAAGAAGAAACTAGTTTGTCAACTAAATTGACAAAAAACATTTATGAACATTGTCAGGAAAAAACGTGCATTTTTCATTTTTTATATTGAACTATGTGCACAATCTGAGTAAAAACAAACTGTAACTTGAAAACAGGCAAGTACCTGAGCCAAAATACATGGCACTATTTTGACTTACTGATCAGAAGGTGGTTTCAATTTTCACAACACATTAGCACAGAGTACAAAAAGGGTGAAAGACTTTGCACTCAAAACATTCAAATAATGACAATTCACCTGCTTTATGCAGTCTGTCACCAAGAACAGATGATACATTTCTCAGATATACTATTACAGGGTATTTGCACGCATGTTTTCATGAGTTATTTTTATGAATTTTAAGATGAAGGAAACTGGACATTTGCAGAAAATTGTGGTGACACTTAGCTGTGTTAGAGCCAAAGCTCTCAATAAATTTTATGCACAATTGTACTTGTGTCGTAACACATTGCAGGAGATCTCAAATAAGATGAAAGCAGTATACAATTAAAGCTAATTCTCTTTTGTGCTATCAGAACATTAGACCAGTTTATAACTACTTATTCAAAGTGACCAAACACCTGCAAAATGGTCTGCATAGGTAATTTGACAACTTCATTTCCAATTTTGAAGGATGGATATTTACACAAAATATGAATCAGTTTTTACCTAATTACCGAAGTACCTTATTACCTAAAATACCTAATTACTTGTTCTTATTGAATGACACCATGGGCAAGCAGTCAAATACATAAGTGACAATTTCCCCAGACTGGCATTTATCATATACATAACTCTGTCTTCCTGACATCAATCTTAACACTACTGCATTATGCCTATTTTCTAACGCAAAGATATTATTTTGGGCATTGGCTAATGTGTATATGATCACTTGAACCACAAAGCATTGTGTTTGAGTTACCATTTACAGATGAGTGTGGGCATTACAAACCATTTATAAAATACTATTTAAGATCAAAAGGTCATTGGTCATTGATCTGAAATGCTTCCAGGCACAGAGGAATAGATAAAACAGGCTGGTTACAGCTGCATTTGAAGAACAGATGTTTCAGTCTTCTTGACCCGTTAAATAAATGGTGAATAGTAGCTGTACATATAGTAGAACCCTCCCGCCTCCAGGAAAAAAGCAAGTAGGATATAGCGTCTTCAACATGCTCAAACATCAGGCAAATGTGAGCAGAAGAGGGAAGAAAAGGGGATTTACATATTACCATCAAGTGTACCTGCAAACTGCTTGTCACCGTTTCCTCGGCTACCAAACCTGGTAACTATTTTCCCATTTGGTTGGAAGATGAACACACAGCATGCTTTATTGTCCACTACTATGATGTGTCCATTACGATCCACAGAAACGCCCTTAGGACCCATGAGCTTTCCAGATCCAATTTTGGCCTAAAAGGGAAAACACAAAACAGGAAGATATGTTGGCACAATGGAAATAAGTTAGTACAGTTCATAGAACTCCACTGTGGGACGGACTGAAAATTTGTGATCAGAAGTTTGCCAGAGGAAGTAATTGCTTTTATTGGTTTTTAATTGCACACTTTGTCGTATTTTCCTTCATCTGAAAACAAAGAATGCTTTCTCTATGTCTGCTGCCAGAGCAGAAAATCTACCACCTCAGCAACTCGGGAGTCCAAATATACCACTCAGGAGTAACTCAATCATCAGAACTATGAGTTTTGATAAACTACAGTACGTGCCAACAACTATCACAAACAGCTGTATATCCTATACTAGTGTACCAGGAGGGAAGACAGACAGACACAAAGGACCTCTGGATCCCATTCCTGAGTGAAGCAACAACCTGGTTATGGATGGGGAAGCAAGTCTTTACCACTGTCTGCTACATGAAAGAAGTCAGAGCTGACTCTTGGAGCTAGGTGGGATGTGGGCAATGATGTATTCTACAGCCTTTCTTGGGCAAATGAGGCACCACGCAACTCCTGAGCGCTCTTGGAAAGAATTTGGGCAGAACTAAAGCCCAGGTTAACCTCAGTGTCTTCTAACAGACCCATCTGAGAGTGCTTCACTTGTTGGTTAGACATATGAGGTAACAGTTGAAACCTGCACAGGAGATAGGGTCGTGCTGCCAAGCTGCAAATAAAGCAATCCTTGAAACACTAAACAAAATAAAGTCTGCTTCAGTCTTACATGTAATAAAAACATTTCCATCATTGTAAATAGGCTTTGTGACCACCAAAATCATCTGCAACTATAATTAGCAACAGGAAGGTAAAAAAAAATATTGTAGCAATGGAAAAGCCTTCCGAGAAGATGAGGTGGATCTCACACGCAGTGAATTATTTGGAAAGGTTAGAAAGCTCTCAAAATAGATCAGAAAATGTTAGAAGCATAGCGCACAAACACTGGAATAGGCTATTCATATAGCCAATTTTATACGTATAAACAGCTATGTATAACTTATAAATAAGTTATACAGGCTATACATACATCAGTATGTTTACACAGCTGATTAATTAGCCCGTGTGTGTGTATGTTATGACGGACTGACTGGAGATGGCAGATTTTAGGTTATATTTTTAGCCTTCCTCTCTTACTCTTTTTCCTTTCTGCACCTAGAGAGGAAACTGTTCTGCTCAGTCTTGTGTTTTGAGTTTGGTTCACACCTGCTTTCTATTCCTGTCACCAATTACAGCTCATTCCCCAGGGTAAGGAGCTGTGGGAAATACTCCAAATTGTACATCAACAGCTCAGGCCATTGCAGATTGTCCTGTTAAAGCAGTGAGAGCTCACTGGGAAGATGAGCTCACGATTGATCTCAGCCACTGTAACCAATACATTACTAGAAGTCTCTTGATTATTACTGTGATGAATTGTGGTATAAATGTACTGAAAAGGGGTAGCAAACAGATGGCTTTCCCCAACCTGCCGATGATTCCTGATTGAAGAGCTGTAGTTTGAACAGACCTGGTGAATGTTAGATCCCTCTTCCTGAGCACAGGATCTGCAAACAGCAGCTCCAGTCAGCATCGCTTCTTCCAGAAGTACACAGGTGGCCATCACTAGCCTAGATACGTGCTTTGACTGCCTCACAAAAAGCGGCATGAATGTAAGGGGATCTCAGAACAACAGCCACCGCATCCCACCCAGCCCAGGGCAAGCAAAGCCTTCACAGAACCTTGAACTATCCAGGCATACAATCAACGAGATGTTAGGATCACCTCCCATCCTTTTTCACATTTTGCACCAGTTTGCTTTATTTTCAGCCAGAGACTCCAAACTGGTTTATCTGCATAAAATCAGTTGAGTTTTGACCTTTCAGCTAAAAAAGAGTTACAAGAACACCAACAAATTGTTTGGGTTTTAGAATGTAGCAACTTGTCTTTTTTTGTCTTTTTTATTTTTTATTTTTTTTTAAAGGATGGACAGATTTTGAAGCAGTTACGACTGAATCCAGGTTGAATTCAAACATCTGGTTTCCTGACAGCCTGTTTACATCTGTGGACAGGCAGTCCAGCAAGCAGGCCGTGTTGAAGTAATGGATCCCAGAGCTTCCCGATCCTATAGTAATTTGTTAGACACCATCCTACAAACTGCGGTTTGTAGGATGTAGGATGTAAAGGGGTAACTCCCTTTGCTGGAGAACATTGTTTCCTATTTCCATCTGAATTTAAATGAAATATATACTAAGATACACATATGAGTTCACAACTAACTATCTCAAGGCAGGAGAGATTACAGGGCATGGAGAATATCCATTAACTAACTCATTCCTCTCAATTCTCAGATGATTTCAAAGCAACCAACCATGTTAATGTTTGAAGCAGCTCAACCACCCTTAGTTAACGCCAGGCTCCTACTTCACAGGGCGTTCTCATGGGTGGGATTGCAGGTACAGAATTGGAGTCATCTCAAAAGAAAGGCATCTAGGTTCCCCAAGGCCATCTAGCATACAGTCACCAGCAGTCCTACATAGCTTCTTTCAATCTCAAATAAAGAAAACTCCAGGGAGTAAACGTTGCAGCTTCAAGACTATGCGTAGCCAGCATGCAACAATCATATGTCTACTTATATTCAGGTACATATGCTCTTATAAATTGCTAAATATTTAGGCAAAATTCACATAAATAAATCACACTAAAATGCCCCAGGGAAAACTATCAAAACTGACTTTCTGTTCACCAGAGGAAAGATATAAGCAGACCCACAAAATGCATTCAGGTTTGCCTAACAACAAAGCAGGAAAACCATAAACCAAATGCAAATCAGCACATTTATTCCCTTTGGGTTTATTAAATCATGTTCCCTTCTTTCCTCCGGGATGCCCGTGTGTTTATCTGCTTGTGCACTGCACCACCTCCTTAGCATCTTTCCAGGTCTCCTATGGAAAAATGACTCATACTCATGAGTACAGTGTCTTCCTGCCCATATAAATACATATGAAAAAATTCATGAATAAATCACGAACTACACTAATGGGCACTCCATGCTGAGAAGAGTAATGAAAATCACTATTCCTGGGCCAGGATTTAAAACACAATTTGCAGGCAGCAATAAAATGTGCCCAGCTAGAGTTTGCAATGCTTGCTACTAAAAACCTCTGTTTCCAGTTTAGATCAAAATATGCTGATGACACATCACTGGGTCTGGCTGAACATAGGCTTTGTGCATTTTTATTTCAGAAGGTTTCTTAGAATTATAGGTTTGTTTACTTAGAACAGAACATCATGAAATCCAGTCACTCCTGTTAAGTACATGAATGGAAGCATTCTCAAACTCTTCTGCCATTAGAAAGGAATACAGTATGATGAATCATCTAAATCCTTAATACAAATAATGTGTTTAAATGAATTCAGTCAAGGACGTTATGTGCCTCATTTTTCAGTCTGCTATGAATTTAAAGTCATTTTCAAATACGTGTTCATAAAGACACCCTACTAGGGTGTAAAATATTGTACTGTGGGATATTCCCAGAGGTGAAAAAATGAGTTGGCACATGTAAAAAATGTAAAGGCTTTTCTCCTGTAGCAGTACGTTTGTTAGGGCTTTAAATTTAGATTCACTGATCTTGTTACCGTCAGAGAGGTTCACAATTGTCAGGAATTCATTTACAGAGTTTAAACATACCTTTTTTTCCTTTTTGACAACTTCCCTAACATGGAGATATAGCTTTGTAACACATTGCGACATCACACTACAAATGGATTTATCATTCATGTGACTGTCTCAATTCAGCTGTGACCAGTCATCACATTCCTCAGAATTATCTCTATCAAAACACGCAACCAGCTCCAAGCAGCTCCTGTCTTAATTCTTCTAACTAGCCAAGAAGAAGTAAAAGTCTGCCAGATAAAACATTTCCTTCCATCTTTTCCCACTGTCTTAACTTGATGTCTTAACTTGACTTATAGCTCTGGCTGGCTGATAACAGTCTATTTTAGATGTGATCCTTCAAGAGTAGAAAGAAAATAAGTGCCTCATCTGAGAACGAAGAATCATTCTGCCAGCCCTACCTTGCAGTTCCTTCAGTAAGTCTGAACACCACCAGTACCACAGAAGCTGCTATCGCTGCTTCAGCGTGCATTCTCTCTCTAGCCTAGCAAAACCTCTTCTATAACAATTTTGTTAAGCAGTTTCAAAGTAGTTTCCAGAGGAAGCCAGCACTGTTACCTGCCTTCTATAGATGGGGAAAATGAACTACTGAGAAGTGAAGTGACGCATGAATAGTCAACCACGAGACCTGTAGCTCGGCCAGAATCAGAAGCCCCAGTTCCTAAGACCTTGTCTGACTTTTTGGCGTTCACAGCATAACACAGCCTTTCATTTTAAGAGGCTCATGTTTTAGTGTAACCCTAGATTAAGGTTTGTCAAGCTCTACGTTATGCAAATTCTACAGCCTTGAGAAAACTAAGTTCTGTCTCTGTTCCTAGCAGAGACTGAGGAAGGTGACACTTTTCTGCTTGGCAGGGGAGCCTGCTAGGGTGCGTCAGCCAAGTTCTGTAATCAGGGAGATTCTTAGGCCTGGCTCCAGGGGAAATTTGCTTCTGGCTCACATGACTATTAAAATACTGCAAAGGGAGAGGAAGGATACGTAAATGCAGAAAGAGGATGACAACAACGAAAAAATAGCTAGATTAAGTTCAAAACAGACCCCTGATAGTGCTGAGTTAACAGCTAGCAGACCACCTGCATCAGAGATGATGAACAATGTGATGAAGCCGTGATCCTTTGAAGGGAAACACCATCAACCCTTTATCTATCTTCCTGTGCATCTTAGTACACATTGCCCAATTTAACCTGACAAAGCCCCTGTGAGAATTACTATTGCCAACACACAAGAAATCACATGGCTTTGCCCAAATTTCCATAGACACAGATCTGCTATATCCCTGCCCTGTGCTTCAACTATACGATTATGCCTGTTCTCCATATATAAATGTTTCTACAAACCTTCTTATATTTTTCTCTTTTAAATATACTCTGTTGCATTTAAATCTAAAAATAATATTTTACAGTATAAGTAATGTTTCATCTCCCACTTAATCAGTCTAGTTATAAGAGCTATAAAGTCTGATATATTGACTTGAATTAACCACACAAACATTGCCAACTTTACATAGCTGTGGCAGTCCAACAAAAACACTGACTAAAATAAAGTTAGGCCCCATGTCAGAGGAACTACCTTAATATATAAATTTTTTCAGGGCTTGTCTTCCTGATGGCAATGTATAACACACAGGGTCCTGGCTCCTCCAGAGCCAAGGCTTTTTTCTCCAGAGCTGACACCATCCAAAATGCTGGATTTACACTCAGTCTGGAGGAGGAAGGAAGACTAGCCCTCCATCCTCCATGTCCAAATCAAGCCAGCTCATCATTAATGGCCAGACTCAGTGACATACATTCCGGGAACAGCACCAAATGGAGGCAGCCTTTAATCCTCTCTAGCGCTGCACCTGACCCCAAGGAAAATAAATACTGTAGGTTGGCAAGCATCAGTGACCAGCACGGATCTGATCTGTAGTGCAGTAGCTGCCTTTTTGTTTTTCTCCCATTGAGGCCATCATACTTACTATGAAAATAAGAGGTACACTCTTCCCAGAGCTTCTGATTTCTGAAAAGTGAGGCATTATTTCATGACTTTCAGTTTTTCTGATGCCTGTTACTCAGCATAAAGCACCCCTCCTATCCATGCTGTAGCACTGAAGGAACCTCCTAAGTTGCCCTTCCTTGCACTTATTACCAACAGGATCATATGTAAATTATACACTTGATTTGCTGACTTGTATGGAGTAAATCGAGGAAGTCATCATCAGTCTGCTACCTTTTGTTTCTCCTCCATGTGTCACCAAAGAGCCTTATGTCCGCACAAGCTTTTAGTCTGTCTGTGTAGCTTTTAGTCTACAATATATATAGTCTATAATATATACACATATTTATATATAACCAGAATGCTAATAACATGAAGGTTGTTGAACTAGTTCAGCTAGACTCAATTATATCAGCTATCCCCAACCGTAAGATGCACAAAGGCATCTAAGTACTTGGTACGCAGAACTGCAGAACTGAACATATTGTCGCTATTTGATGTCTTGTTGGCATCACAGCTGTGACCTCTTCATATTTATCATACAATATGGCTATGCCATGGGTTTCCACATCACAACAATGGAATCTGGACTAAGTTACAACTCATCTATGTACTTTCTTGACAAAGAACCCCCCAAAAACATGAATATGCATTCCACTGTAAGGTGGAGAAGGCTCAGAGGAATCCACATGGTAAATCATACCTTAAATTTTCCATCTGATGAAAATATGCTAACCCATTTGTTATCATAATCTGCAATAATGATGTCACCACTGGGATGCACAGCCACTCCCGTTGGCCGCTGCAACTGGCCAGGAGACCTTCCTCGTATGCCAAAACGACTTTTGAACTGGCCATCATTGGAAAATATCTGCAACAGAAAACACTTATGTTAAAACTAAATCTGCATAACATCATCATCTATTTCTTGGAGCTTAGATTTTAGCAAGCAACAAATGAACACTACGGTCAGAAAGAGAGATGGGAATATGAAGCGCTTTTACACTGTCCATATTAGAAAGTGATGTGCCTAATTTAAGAAGCCTCCACTTAGACCCTAACTTCATAACAAAGTTGTTCTTTGCACTTACGTGGCACTTTTCTTCAATGATCTCAAAGAACTTTACAAACATTAGTGAATTAGGTAGTCGGAAGGAAGCGATATTATTCCCGTATTAGAAAAGAGCAAACTGAGGCACAGAGTGACTTGGCCAAAGTCACACGTGAAGTCTGTGGAAGAGATGGGAGTAGAACCTAGATGAGATTTGCAGCATCTAATTATTTGATTTAGATAAATACTAGGGCATTTCCTGAGAGATGCTTTAGCCACTCTCAAAATTTAGGCCACTGTTTGTGTCCCCCAGTCATTTAATTAGATACTGAAGTTCCACTTAAGTGGCTGCAAATTACAATATGTGAGGGTACTGAGGTATATTTGGCTGTCACTTTGAAAAGGTTTGAAAACAACTTGTTACTGCATGTGGCTCTCCGGTTCCAACACACTGAAGAACAAGCCTCATTCTGCTGTCTTGTTCGTTGCTACCACGTAGGCAGCCTGAACAGTGATGACAAATTGTTAATGGTGAAAAAGCAAAAAGAGAAAAAATGCACACACGTTACAGAAGCCAAGAAATCATGAATGTCAGGGATGCTACCACAGAAAAAATTTGATCACATCAGACAGAAGAGTTAATTAAGTGGACTAAAAGTCACTTGAAAATGACATCTACGTGTCTATTTTTGTATTTCCTTAGGAAATTATATTTGTGGCACTGTGTTCTAGATTTGTTTGGAAATATGAAAAGTATACAAGTGATAAATTTACACTGTAAAGTGACATTTACAAAAAGGCTTTTTTCCAGATTATGGTATGTTTGTTTTTCTCATTCATTGCCAAAAATTATAAGGAAGAGAAATAACTCTGATATATAGAGTAGATCTGCTGTAGATCTGAAAGAGATAGCTGCAGGTCAAGAAGATGAAATAATAATAGATAATGAATAGGTTTGGCTTCCTCTGTATTTTCCATGTATGCTTGCAATGCACAGTATTTGTCCTTCTTGGAGTACAAAGGAGGAAGAAGTCGGGGAGAAAAAGAATAATACTGAAAGTAGCGTATCCTCATACCTGCACACATTGGTTGTTACTGTCTGCTATTAATATTTTTCCATTTGTAGATGCAGCTACACCCTGAAGATTTGTAAACTCCCCTTTGTTTCTCCCTTTGGTGCCTACAATTGGACACAAAGCACATGAATCAGGTTAGACAAGACTAATCAGTTACAACTTAAATACAAAAATACGCATTTATTATATCCTTGATCCACAAATTTCTGTTACAAAGTGTTTTTATCAGTGCTACATCTTCTTGCTGGGGTTACAGGTAAGATGTTTTTTCATATGTGATAGATTTTTTTAAATATAGATTTTTAATTATTATTATGAGAAGGCAATGAAAGGGGTGGAGCTGTGGGACCATACAGTGACTAAGATAAGAACCTGGACGGAGGACAGGTGCTTAGTGCTACTAGCTAAATCTCCTCGGTCAAGTCACAAAGTTGAGATAAAACATATGAGTGAGTGTTTTGGGTAGGGCACTTTCAAGGACAGGGAATTTTGCCATTCACTCATACAGTTTTCATTCACAGGCTGTAAAACCTCCCTTAGATCAGGAACTGTGAGGAGGAACTTGTTTTGAATGACTGGGACATATAGGCCAACACCTGGGGACTGAACACTTCTGCAAAATATATATATGACAAAGAGCTTTGATAGTTCTTATACAATAGTATATAAAAAAAAAAAAAAAGTCCCAGCTTTGCCCAGGACAAAGGTAATAGTGATTCACAGAACTGCAAGTTAATGCATGTAGGTATTATCCCCACTGGTTTAAGGGGACAAGGAGCTATAAAATGTCACATTTTCAAAAACATTCATTACTTTTAGGGACCTCAGTTCTCAGATGTTTGTTTTGAAATGTTCCAAGAAGGGTTTCAAAGCAAATTGATGTTTTTAAAAGGTCAGCCCTAGGTGGCAGGTCCAAACTACACCTGGAGCACAGTAACAGCATCCAACTCCTACTGTTCATAAAGATGGCTGAGGGGTCCTCAGAGAAGACTGCAGCTATGATCTTGGACCACAGAGTGATTCATAATGAATTAACTTCTTTTAAAACAAAAAGACTCTGTAAGTTGTTAATTCTGAGACTTGGATGCAATGTTTTTTTCCTGGTAAAGTACTTTTACAAGCAATCACTGGCTGCATATCGTTCATTAATTGGTTTCCAATATATAGTTTTAACTGAAAAGCTTGTATTTCATTTTAGTCACTCCAAAATATCCTGGAACTTAATGATTAAAAGCATTCTGATTGTGATCCCCAATATAAGACTCTCATATTAGCTCTAATTTGCCTTTAGCTTTCATTAGGGACACGCATGCTCTTAACAACCATTCTTTCTGCTGCGCTGATGGATGTGGGATGCATGTTTCCTGGCGCTGGTTAGCAAGTAACATTTAATTCCTCTGCACTTGGTTCTGAGAACACGTCCCTTTGTTTCAAGGCTTGTTTTCCTAAGCTTCACATGCTTTTGTCCTCTCAACAAGGCCCATACTTCTCAGTTTTTGCACTGCAAGGGAAAAGTAAACGTTAAGGGAATAGTGAGCTACACACCAGTCACGTTACCCACGCTTGAGCCATTTCGCTGTAGTCTTTTAATGAGCAGTGCCTGAGGGATGCATGCAGGAATTTTTTTCCGCCATATGCTAATGATAAGTTTCCTTTTTGCCTTTTAGCCAAAGAGAATGGATGAAAAGTGAGAAGCATTCTCTTTACTACTGAGAGAAAAGGGAAAACATTTGTTAGAAAAGAGGAGGCTAAGCTAGAGCATCTGGAACCAACTAGCACAAACATTCTATAATGTATGCTCTTTCCCCAAAGAAAAACGTCCTTGAAAGTCAAGGAATTTCATTTTTAAAGATAAGAGAGATCTATATAAAGAGTTACTCAGAGTGTTCCTCAGTGGGACCTTGTAAACATCTATCAAAGGAAAAATAGAAGACATTATCCAGGAATACCGTAGTCACGTTTCCCAGTAAATTTTAGAAACAGTAATTTATTAGCACAATTTGCAGATGAAATTCAGCTCCATGCAGTGACCTTGCACATAGTACTTTGCAGCTTTTAAACCCTTGACAGAGGTCTTAAGATGCACACGGGCCTGTAGAGAGTCCCCTCTGCAGTGGGACAAATTTATCTCAAGAAGAAAGCTGAGGTTAGTAGAACAATTTATTTCTTAACTTATGCTCAAGAGGAAAACAAATAACTTTGAGCTTTCTGATCTGGAAAATTCACTATGTCAGGGTAAGATGTGAACCCAAGTACAGGCAGCGGCAGCAGCTCAGATGATGAGAGGAGACCTTGTAACAACGTACGCCAGGACTGTGGAAAAGCAGGATCCTGGGGCTGGTTCTGGAATACTTGTTCCAGTGTTTCCCAAACAGTCTGGTTTGGAGATGGAAGCCTGCATCTTTCAGGCCCTTCTCTGCCCAGCGTTGCCTTCCTCCTGTGCTGAGCTACTGAGGGGCACAACGCAGGAACACAAAGACATTTCACTGCACCTTCTGCAGCAAGCTGCTTGGGGCTGCAAGAGGAGAGCAGAGTTTTCCAAAGCGCAGGCTGAGGAGGGGCATTAGGAAGCAGGCCTGTGCCCTGTGGAATAGCTGCTCTCATAGATCTTTGTACGCAGTTCTCTTAATAAACAATCGATTTCTGTTTTAGCCCTATTTAATTCTTTCTGGCATTATTTAGCATGCCCTGCACAAACTAATTAATTTTGCTTTGAAGACGCGCTTTCAACAAAAGAGTATCTATTTTCAGCTCAAGACAGAGAGACTAGACCTAGCTCCCATGGATCGCTTCACAGTTTCAATCTTTTATTCTTGCACAGTAAAGGCCAAATTGACCAAAACAATCCAAAAAGTCTTTAAAATCACAGGAGCTGTTAAAAATTGCACCATGTAACTGAGATCAGAGTCTGCTCTATAGGTGCTGGACACCTGGAGACCTATTGCACAACACACATTTTTTGTTACTGATGGTAATGGAAGAAAGGCTTTTTGCTTTCTAATCTGAGTTACCATGCAAATTTAAGTTTTACAAGCAATCAGCCTTTGGATGAGGGCACACTTAACGTTTGTAACTTTTAAAGAGGAATGAATAATTCAGCAAGAACTCCGGCAGCTACTCCCACACACCGTTAGTAGCGGAGTTTGGGCAGATTTTTATGGGTTTGTTTTACGCAGCATCTGTCCCTACAGCTTGGCGAACACTACTGCCAAGCCTTGCTTGTGCAACAGAGCCTCTGCCACCACACCTAGCTGCACTTAAAATCCCTGGGGTAAGCGCAGCACACGCTGCCAGCGGCGATTCTGGGCTAGCGTAGCGGCAACCCCCAAGGCGGACCAACCAAAGCTCGCCGTTGTCAGGTCGTCGAGCCCACGCTGGGGGCTGGCAGCTCTGCGACATGAGAGTTCTTCAGCTCCTGTCCAGGACAGGTACAACGGAGAAACTGTGCAGGCTGGGTCTGGACAAATCTCACAGCGGCCATCACATACCCACGGAGAGATAAGAGTCAGTGGTCATGACCAGCCTCAGAGGGCTTTGAGCTAATAAGCTGGCAAATGAAATTCCACTTCCCCATTACTAAGCTTTCACATTTCTATGTGAATAGAATCCTATATAAAAAAAAAAAAAATCTTATTTCATATTAATTACTTTGTTCCTAATTTCTGAAACGGAGAAGGAACAACAAGTGACTAGAGTGTGTCTGAGCAGCCTCTGTATTTCACCTATCATATTTATGCACTACATGCAACCACTGCACATAGGCATCCTCCGCTGCTTCTCCAGCGCCTTCCGTCAGGCTGCAATTCGGCTAGGACAGAAGACTGTCGGAAAGGTAGGGAAGGGACGGGAAAATGGAAGGAAGCAGATGCTGCTTGCTTTAAGGAATAAGGAATACCTGTGGACTATGTGCACGAGTGGGTTAACTGCACTTGGAAAAATACATGTTTTTTTCAGGAAGACACCTACCCACATAATCCAGTTTTATTTATGCCATTGCTCACAAAGCATGTGTCTGTAGGCAGCCCTGTTCTTGTCAAACAGGACAGCCCAATACAGAATTTTGGGCAGAGGCCTGCAGAGAAAGTTGAAGAAGAAACACCTGATCAAGAAAATACTCCCCAGAAAATGTAGATGTTTCTCTAAAATCTACTTGCAGATCCACATTTATTATTTGTCAAATATAAATATAACTGCTCTGTTCCCCTGCTTTTAAACTGCATTCTTTACCAGAGAGCTAGGCACAAATGCATTAGAGCTGTTGTTACACAGGCCTTGTTCACAGGTTTCTTACATGGAACAAATTCATAATAAGGCTCCCATTTGCTTTCAGCAGTTCTAACAGACAAGAAGATGACATCTGCACCTAGTAAGGAGGCCGACAGAAGGTACTGTTAAAGGCACTTTTCTTTTTCTTTTTAAATCTGAATGAATTACACCCATTAAATGCACCAGCTAAACTTAGATGCTCAGTTACACAACTGAACAGGCAACTAAACACATTCTGAGGAAACGGAAATTTGAACTTTCTAGCAGAGAGCCAGCTCTCCATCTGGCTGTGTCTGGTGCCAAACCCAAGCTTAGATAAATGAGGAGAAAAAGCAGCTGAAGTGGTAAATGGCACCTCTTTTGCTAAATGCTGTCGGAGAACCCAGCCATGAAAAGTGCTGGAAGAGCAAAAAAATACCTCCATGCATAAGGCACAGCATGATACAACGTGGGGTCGGAGTCCCTGCCAGCTGGACAAGAGGATGCAGATAACTGGTGCAGATAACCCATGGCTCTTCCCCCCTCATTTGAAGGACGTGGTATATTTACCAGGGAAGGAGGAAGCGGCTAAACACTGTGAACGTCTCCCCACCTTCATTACCTCTGCCCTGCGTGCGTCTGAGACCCAAGAGCGGGGGAAGAGAACAGAAGAGCCTTCCTGCTCACCTTAGTGCTTTCTACCCCTTGTAGTGGTAGCAAAAACCACCCGCTCGACAATTATTTTCTGGATATCACAAGCTCATTCTTGTTTTCCTTTGCACAAACTTGAGTACACGTTGCACATCTGGATTTTTGTAAAATGACTGATTTACTTATTTGTTTTTCTTCCCGTAGTAATGTAAAGTTTTGCAGTCTGTAACGTTCAGAACGCTAGAACTGTGTGGACACGCTCTTAGAGATCATGCCTGCTTAAAAAAAACAGTTGAGGATATAAATTATTAAGAGAAAAGGAGAGAGGGAGGGAAGCAAGAAATACTCTGTTCTTGTAAATAATGAATTACATGAATGTACGTTCAATACCATGACCTCAAAATGTCTGAATAGAACCACATGCCACTTAAAAAGCCAGGAATATCACAGAACTGGCAAAAGATTTAACGCACAATTCCCTGTGAACAAAAATACTTATTTGTACTAATGCTGTTTTAATGCAATTTCTGTTAATACTAGCACAAATCTGCTAGGACCCGATCCATTTATTTGTGCATAAAAGCCCATACATCAGCATATAAGCAATAGCATGCTCCATATACTCAGATACCCATAGGAATATTATAGTACGGTCCTCCAACACAGCTGTATGAGCTTCTGGCAGCCCAGGCATGAACTCTCTTTATCTTGCCCAGTTTAAATTACAAACTCAAATTTGGCCAGGGTTCTTAGAGGAACTCAGCAATGGGTTCAAAATAAAGATATGCAGTTGTGCTGGAAAACAGTGACCAAACTTTATTTTGCATGACTTCAGCTACAGATGAACCACAACTCAACTTTTAAAAGTGAGCTGAAACTGGAACTAAACAAAACTATAAATCCCTGAAGGCAATCCCTGTGAAAATGGAAGAAATTTTACCTATCTTCATTAATTACACATATTTTGGAAGAGTGTAAAAAGTTAGAGCATAACAGCTGCAAAAGCTTAAGAGGCCTTTCAGATGACGCACACACAGGCCCACAAAGGCCCAGAGGGACATCTCTTTGTAGGATCATTCTGTGAAATGAGTAGCTGAGAACTGAATATGGAATGGGATGAAGTATTATTCTGAGCTCCGTTTTTCAATAAAACAGCAATCCATATATCCCAAATGCAGAAACTCGTGTATCATCACGCAGTGCTCTGAGACATGCATAGCTCTTGTTCTAATTATTTTCTTTTATCTTGTGGGGGGAGAGCAGGGGGAAGGGAGGATGAAGAACTCCAAAATACAGGTCATGGCCATGCCTGAAACAGAACAGAAAGAGAGGGCACCACACAACAGAAAGAGAGGCCATATCACGACTTGGTAGTCACGTTAGAAACTGCTGAAATGAGAGATCCAAAAGCAAAAAGTACAAGCAGAAGATCACTTTAATCCATACCAATAGCCTCATAATAAGAATTTACTGCCTTAAAACAATTTCAGGACATCTTTTTTGTAAATATTTATTATCGACCAAAGGTATTGTTCTGTTTGAGTCTTTAAAAGGTAATAATTTTAAAGATGGGTCAATCTTTTCTCCATTTAGATCTACAGATTCCCACACAGGGACAAATTGATGCTAGATGCATTTGAACAAGAGCAAGGCGCTGGCATTCACTAAATGTTTCAATCACAACAGGTTATCAGAGCTTCCCTGTTACTCACAGGCAGGGTGTACCTGTGCAAGCTTTCCTATACTGCTCCATTACTGCAGCGCAGATCTATAGAGACCCCCTGTAGCTGAATCTGCCTATTTGGCCTCTTCTTTAGCTAGCATATAACATGTTGCCATTGCTCCAGAAGAGATCAGAGTGATATTCTCTTTCTAGACAGGGTTCAGATATTATTCTTAACCTTTGTGGTTGACTCTGTCCCTAAACAGGGCTCTGAAAAGATCTAGGTTACATCTATACTTACCCTCTCTGCCCTTTTACTAGCCCTAGCAGTGAAACTGCGCTTGGGGAAGAGCCACAGCTCCGTTTCCCTTCTGGGGGGAGCCGAGGGCAGATCCCTCTGCCAGGCACAAGGGTTTGTCTCCCCAGGAGACTGCTAGCCGCAGTCCTGCTGGTGCTCACTACAGCAACACCTTTTACAACAAGAATACTCACCTGCTAGAGAAAGGACAGTGTCTGGCTACTAATTTTGTGTAACAAAACCCACCCATGAGCTTCGGAACATAAAGTCTGGTTACTACCAAGCAGGGCTAGCTCGACTTCAATACGATGAGTTCTGCATCTTCTTTCTAACTTTTGACCCAGGGGTCCCCATAAAATTTAGCCTTACTGAAAGTAAAACAGGGTATTATCTCCTCTGTAAAAACATGCTTTGAAATGTTGTATTTATGAGGTCATTTATCTAACAAGGCAACACACTGGCCATCTGGGAAAGGCTGGTCGTTTTCGGAGTAGCTCCAAGGCTGGTCATTTTATGAGTAGCTGCATGCAATGCTTACATGGTACTGTCCTCTTTAGCATGCAAAGCTTGTTTGCCAAATTCGTTCTCTGATACAAAATCATTATTACATTAATTGCATATAGTCTCTATCACAGTAAGGGATCTAATAAAAATATTGACAGATATTTGAGGTATCAAACGGACAGGGGTAACCTACTGACAAATACTGTCCAGATATTCTATTTTCAATAGAATTTTTAAGAATAATCCAGGATTAACCACCATCCGTTCTCCACTACAAATAGGAAAGCCACCTTGGCAAATTCAGTACACATACCACTGAAATCCTGACTTGTTTATTTTAAGAATTAACTTTGCTTTTTCTTAAGTTGTGCCAAGTGAAAGGTATTTTCTAACTATACCAGCAGATATTTTATAAACACAATACCCTGTGTTACAAACTTTTTCAATTATGAATTATTATTACTTTTCTAAAAAAAAAAAAAAACTATATCAAAAGAGCTGAAAGAGAATCATGGTAGATGACACAGAGATTATATATTAATTGCCAAGCATTAGAAGCCCAAAAATTTGGAGATACAATTACTCTAAATAAAGAACCAAACATATTTAGGTATTGAAAAACACAAAGAGAGGAAATCTTAACTTTGTCCTATGTTGACATCATGAAATAACTATATACGATCACAGGATTTAGCATGTATAGTCCTTGGTTAGATTAATTAATTAATTATTTTTTAGGGCAATCGCTTTGGAGAAGTTTCCTTTTTGCCACGTGACGTTTTAAAGAAGCAATCTAATCTGCAACAATAATCTTACAATACTGTCCTCTCATGATGCCCAGAGTGCAGAAGAGCTGGTGAAATATTTTCTTCCAAATCAAACGTATGCATGTCTTAACCAAAATTCCACTTAAACATTTGTTGCAAACAGCATTTCCCAAGCATGTACTTTTAAAATGTACGTGTGAACAAAAGCTGAGACAGGCCTAAAGACACTATCAGGTTGTTCAATTTATCGTGACATGGATTCATACAATTTTAACCTTAAAATAATTTAATTTCTAGAACTTTTCACCATTTCCCTGAGCTATTTTTAAGTATGTCAATAGTTAGCAGACAAGTCACCTACCTACTCTGAAGATCAAATCATCTTCAATGGGATTCTCTTTTCTTTTGCCAGTGCTGTACATGCTAGCAGGTCTTTTCACAGCCTTCTGCTTCACGTGACCACTGCCAGGAGATTTAACACGCCTCTTAACCCCTTCAGTGGTAGGGGACACATCTGCTGATCTGACCACTTTAAGTTTAAAGGGGCTGCCCTTGATATGCTGATCATAAAGTCTCAGTGACAAAGTGAAGTCCCCTTCTTTCTGAACAGTATATAAAAATTCGTAAGTGCCATTTTTATTGTCAAGTATTTCTCCATCCGCTACACTCCCATCAGGTGTGCTCAGTTCAGCAGTGAGGTAAGCGTTCCCAGATTTACAGAGCTCCCCATCTTTGTCCTTCGTTGTAATGGTGACGGACATGGGCTGCCCAATCACAGTCTGCCTCAGTCCCTCCCCTGTGGCAACTGTTTCAGAGGCAACTGCATTGGTGGTTAAAATAGTACCCAAATTGTGAATGGACTTCTTCAGGCCTTCTGTTTCCACTATGAAGTCCAGCTGATCATTTTCACGGGGCTGCAGTGGGAAGTCCTGCTCAGCCAGTTCATTTAGCTTGTCGCTCATTTGCTTCTTCACCAGCAGAACTTCTGTTTCGGTGCCGTGGTTGAGGGCCTGGGCCGTAAAGTTACTGCAACTTTTAATGCTCTCTTGTCCTTCAAGTAAGGTATCCAGCTGTGTCTGGAGGACCTGTATGCATTGCCAAATACCAGATTAGCATCATGTTACCAACAGCTATGCTAGCAAGATGTAGCACTCTTTACATCTGAAGGCTTTCATAGAAATACAGTTTATAGGGCTTTATCTTAGGAGTTTTGCTTTAGAAAAAGTACTGCACTGACTCCCTCACCCAATAGCACAGCACATTTTTGGAGTATTATGATGCAACACAAAAAATGTACCCCATTTTGGATCTTTAGAGCTTCACAGATCCATTGTCATGCGAGGCTGAATTATTGCCCCATCTGCCTTTTTTTTTTTTTAATGTAGAAGTTTGAGCCCTGATCCATCTGCCTCTTAGCAGTCACAGTTAATGAGCTGGTTAATGGGAAATAAGCTGTGTGCATAGAGATGGAGATATTTTGGAGTCATCAGGCCCATTAATAGGGGAGGCTGCAGGAAGGACTTCCATTTCTTCAGAGCCAGGGGAAACTGTGTGTGGATCCTATACCGAGCTGGACCAAAAGGCACCCTCAAAACCTGTACATCCACACTGACAGAAATTGCAATTCTTAGTCTAAGTAAGTCAAGAAAGGAAAATTTTCGTCTCCTCAGCAGAAGTGGGAAAGTTGATTCTCAGTTTCAGCAGGCAGTAGATCAAAATGTACAGGATGGGTTATGGATAATTGGAAGAGTTGGGTTGAGTAGCCTGAAATTTTGGCGAGCAGCAAGTTGCCTCTCTATATTTAAGTATGATGCAGAGCTTCTATTATATGCTCAGCACTGGCCCTCAGTCTAAAATTCTTAAGACAGCATTGACCTCAAAACTGTTAGGTGTGGGTTGGGAACAAGGCTAACATTTTTTTTTAAATCAGATTTATAACGAATTGGAAAAGGATCCCTAAATTGTAACAACCTAACAGAGAAATTCATGACAGCCTGGAAAGCCCAAATGTTCCAGCCACACACTCCACTGTCAAAAACCCCAAACCAAAGAATCAGGTCACACATTTGCTATGTTCCTCCTGCAGAGAGGAACTAGGACACTGTCATTACTGTATAGCAGAGAAGTTATTTTGTTGACTATTTTAGAAACGTTACAATTGATTCTATACTAAAATTAAGAGATTCGGTGTATCTATTGCTACAAGTTATTCTTGTTAGTTGTTTGTTCTTCCATTGCTGCCATACAGTATGTAACGATAACATAGTCTAAGGGCATTTTTAATTCTAAATTTTAAAAAGCTAGCTGCAAGAATTCTCCACCCACTGCACAGAATCCAGGCCAATGACCTACTGATATGGGGAAGTGAAAACAATATGAAGTATTTTGCAAAAAAAGCCAGAACGAACAAGAAATTTCATGCCCACATTTAAATTTCAAGTTATCCGGTTTTGTATGCATCTAAGAATGCCTCAGAATTCAACAGAAGGCATTTTTATGTCTTGTCCTTATTCCACGATGTAAGGAGTTAAAGTGATACCAGAGCTAGTAAAGTCCCAGGATGACAAAACCCCATAATGCCTGGGATAACAAACCACAAGCTGTGGAGGACGACAACTTGCAACTACATTTTAAAACCATTACATTCTCAACATCATTTTCTTTCATCATGCAGATGGAAAATATTCACTCCTACCATAACTGATGTTTAAACATGTTTAGAATATTTTACACAAGGCCTCTGTCAGTCCATTGGACAACTGAACCAGAATGGCCGGCTTTCTTGTCGCGAAGTGCAGCCCATTCCATTTTCTCATTTTTGCAAAGTATATGATCAGAATGATGGATTTGAATTATTTCATGGGCCTACTGTTCATTCAAATGTAAAACCCAATTCCAGTCTCTCTTTTGTAGGCAAAGGACAGGGAAATACTTCTTCCACTATTTGTTTATGCACAGCTTTGTAAAACGTGTTTCCTGAAGCCTAAAAAGAGCCTACAAATGTCCCTTTAAACCACAATAATATAATTTAACATCATAATTCATCTTCTGGGAACTTTGCATACCCCTATGTTTTCTTGTAGAAAAATGTGTTGGGGACAACATCTTGGATAGGTTTAGATGAATCTGGGACCTAAGTCCAAAGTTTTGACGCTAAAAAGCTGTTCAGCTGCTGCTTAGCAGATGACTAAACTCTGCCTCCAGGGTTCTGGGCTCCTATGTATCTGAGGTTACTTATCTTGTGCATATATTAGAATTCCTCAGTTTTCACAGGCCCAGTAGAAGCAGTACTTTCCTAATCATTAAGCTTGCTCTGGATCCAAGAATGCACCATTCCTCCACTTCCACTATTTAGAGAAGCTCAAGCTGCTTGGTAATCTCAGAGAATGCCCAAAGACACCAGTATTATCAGGCACTCTTGAAACTCCAATGGTTGATGCTAATTTCCTTTAAAGGACACTTTGAAAGGAGAGATATTTCTTTAATATTAAACAGCCTACTGGTGCCTGGGAAGAAGTGAGCTAAATTCTTTCATTTGCCTGATTCAGGCCCATTAATCCTAGGCAAAAGCCCTAGTCACCAGGCTACAAACTTTTTCAAAAAGAAAACACTTCAATTTTCTTCCTGTGAGGCCTAGACCACAGTACCGGGGAAAAAATGCAAGATTCAATCAGCGAGATAGGAAGTGAAAGAGTTAACACAGCTCTGGAATCTATTGCTCTCTGCATTCCTCTGGGAAAATGAGATGCCCCTGCAACATTTATGTGTTTCAAGCAGTGACTTCTGACATGAAATACATTATGAGGCATCTGAAAGGAAAACAGCGCTTTAAAGCACAACAGCAAGCCTTGCTTAGTTCTTTTGGGAGAAATTGTTTGGCTGCGTCTTCATGGGAGGGTTCATGGGATTTCAGCCCAAGGATTTAAAACTTACCCTTGATGTTCCATTACTGGCAACTGCACATTGAGCATGCTGGCTTTAAGCAGACGCCTGCTCAGTGCATTGGCCATATTAGATCCCCGCACACTACGCATACAGGGCTAGCAGCCCATATGGGGTCTGGATTCCACTCTGGAGGCTGGGCACCCACAAGCAAAGCTCTGCAGCACTTGATTTCGGGAAGACAACGTTCTCCCTGGATCTGGATCTCAGACACAGTTTGTCAAACTGGCGTCCTGCATCATTTGTAAAGATTGGCTGATTAAATTAATAGTTTTTCATTGAAACAAAACATGCATCTTACTTTGTGTTTAAGGCCATAATTCACTTCCAGTTCCATAAGCAGCACACTCTTTTTTTTTTTCTCTTTCGCACATTTAAAGTCTTCTGGAGCTCATCAAAAGTGGAATGAATGTCATCTACAATGCTAGCCTTTTGGTTGGTTAACTGATGTATGATTTCAGATATAAAATGAAGTGCTGAGTCAATCTCTGGAAGCCTGAGGGAGGAATTAAATTACAAAGACTGCTGTTTCAAAAGTCGTTAAACATTGGCCCTTGCCTTGACATCTTTTGATGAAACAATCACCAGGCCGTCTTTAAACTCAGTCATTTCCCAGAAGTAAATTCATTCCTTTTACAACCACATAGTGGTTTTGGTCTGATAAAATAAGGCTGAAGCCAGAGCCCTCCCTTGTGGAAATCCATTAGGCTCCAAGCAGTTCCAAGAGGGAAGCCTTGGACCCTCTGTCTCCTATGCAGACATATCTACTAGAGAAGAGAGAACTAGATCTATCCCACTTTTTTTTTTTTAATCCTTTCTGCCAGAGTAAAGCTTGTACTTTACTTTTAAGCATACAGTATATTTTATTTATTATGAAATTCATGACTGTCTCATATTTTTCTCCTTAACATTTTGTGCTCCTTCTTTGGAAGTCACTTCCATTTCTAATGCCTAAGGAAGGCCTGGCTTCTGTTTCGCAAAAGACAGATAGGAATTTTCTGCTCTTTTCTCTGATCCCTCAACGCATTACACTCAATGATGGATTTTATCCTTATGCCATCCTTACTATGCCTATTTTGCAGGTAAAGGTTCATGGCACAAACACACTAAAACATCTACCCAAGGCACCACAGGAAGCCAATGGAAAAATAATCAGTGGATTTTCTATACCTTTTGTTCACAGCATCCAACTGGACTTGGAGGGAAGCTTTGTGTTGTTCCACCACATCCTTGAGCGGGACTGTGGGATGCTCTGCATGTTCTCCCTCTGTACATTCCCGGCACATGGCTGTCTCACAGGACTGGCAGTAGAATTCCATCACCTGGAAACATGCACAACTCTAAATTCAAACATGGCAGGAGTAGCATCACTCAAAACGCAGCTTACTGGGCCTTGAGTATGTTATTATCCAAGAGAGATTACAGTTCAACATGAAACAAACACTGGTGTCTAAGAGAGCAGACACTTTAAATGTACTGCTTAAAAGATATATCTGTTATTTCTACAGATTTCATATCAAAACCCTGTTTTAAATGCAGTTTACTCTATTAGGAAACATCAGAAGAGCAAATCGGGAAATAGCGTGCTGGACCTCAGTGACTGGCCCTATCATCATCTTGGTATTGTGTAACAGTAGTAAATGTTGTTGTCCCTCAACTACTTCATGTAACAACTCACTTGAAAACCAAGGCATTCAAGTTCCACACCAACTCAATCCCTAGTCTCCCCAGAGGGGCTACCAAATACAGAGTAAACTTAGGCTGTTTTTGTAACAGGGCCACCTCTGCAACATGAAATCAACTGTTATCATTGAACACCATATTTATTTGCCACAGAAAAGCACCCTAAATGAACCAATGCGCTGCAGGGAGAAACCTCTGTATCCCATTACTAATCCCTTAAAACCATCAAAACCTCATATGTGAGATTATAATAAGAGTGCTGATCTACACTTGAAAGAGCAGGAGATTGTTTCAACCTGTTATGTATCCAGTAAAATGCTGTCTGGAGATAACAAAAGATCTTTACATTAAAAGATTATTAAATACCCCAAAATCTGAATATGTTCATGAAGGGAAAGAAACAAAAAAGTGCTGTGCCCAAAGTCATGTGTTAGTCAAAATAATGCACATTTATGCAAATTCAGCGTCAGACTATTTTTTTTTTTTACACAGCTAGAAGATCTTTGAATACAAAGCATTTTAGGCTGCTTTAAAAGTGTATAAGGAAATTCACAGTAAATGCTTCAAAGCAAGGTATTGGCAGCTCTCGCATTCAGAACACAGCACCTGAATCTCAAATAACTTGGCCCATGCTTTTGGCACTGGGACCTCTCACACAAAGATGGCTGGACTGGAGAGATGCTGGTGACATCAAGAAGGCTTTTGGGAAAGAACAGAACTGGCTATTTTCAGGTGAGCAGAGGGATCTGTAAAGGCATCATGCAAACTAGCTGGCTGCTCCAATACATCTTGAGAATTAGGAGCGGGGAGTAAGAATCCAGATTTGCATGTGACTATTAGCATTAATAGGGATTTTCCTCTGATAAGCTCCTTTCCTTCTTATTCCCATTCTTCCCTCTTATCTCAACTCACAAGATAAGGGGCTCACAGGCAATGTGGGTTTAGTCACTTGCTGGATATTCGTATAAACCACTTTAGAGAAAATTAAAAAGCTACCCAAACAAACCATGTAAGATGGCATGTATCAGCAAGGAGAAAAATATGTAGCCCATCTAAACAAGAGGAATTACTTACTCCTGTGGCAACCACCATCAACACTACTCCAGTAACTGTGGTTTGAAGGATCTCATGGTAGTAAATCCTCTGAGTTCTGGCAGTTACTTTGGTAGGCACTAAGATATGGTGCAGTCTCAAAGTACACAGAGAAAATGAGTTAAATAGAGTTTAGGATTTAAGTGCTTTACAAAGGCTGCAAACATTTACAGTCAGAACCAACCAAAATGAAAAAAAAATTTTATTAGGAAACTAAGTCTTTCTATGTGATCATAAAGGTTCATTTCTTTCAAATCAGGGTCAAAAGTTCATCTTTCTACCTCTTGATAATGTAATGCTTACGGTTCAAGATATTTTAAAAAGCTCTTTAGTTATTTAATATTTTTATCTTTGGGTATAATTATTGGATTAATATAAATTTGCTCTGTTTCTTACTGAATACCTCTTTAACAAACATCATTATATTTGCAGCAACATATATGAGACAGAAAACATCTCTTTGGCATATTGAAGTTTATTCTAAACAGCTTTCCTCCTCTTTATTTAAGTGCCAAAGAATCACCTAAACCAGAATGGCAACAGAAAGCAACCCATAAAGAGCTAATGTATATGTTCGCATAGAAATTATCTCCTTTGCCTTAGTCAAAGTCAAAATGTTTTGAGTGAAGCAGCTTTCATTTCCCATGAAAGTCTTTGGATTATGCCATAGCTGAAGGAGAAAGAAAAGTTAATATGAAAACTATTTAGGCTTGAAGTGTCTACATGAACTGATTTCCTAAGATTTTATTGAGCATTTCCCAATCAGCTAAGATTGCATATATTTTGTTCTTTTATGTTTATTTCTAACTACTTCCTTTCATGTTTATTTCTACTACTTCTCCTCTCCATCCCCAATATGGGCTTCACATCTTGCAACATTCCCAGGAGGCTTTTCATTTTAACATTTTTTTTTAAACAAAACATCTCAAAAAATGTTTGCCTCATCCTTCTTTTTTTGGGCAGGATATGCTATGGCATCCAACACTGGCTTCAGCTATGCTTCCACTGAAATCAGTGGGAACATTCCCATCAGCTATAACGAGTAGCTATAATACCCACTGCTTTCAAAATCCCATCCACTGACTCCACTTTAAACCAGACAAGCATATTTCAGCACCGTGATCTAGTCATAGGCCTATGCATACCTTCACTACTGTAATTTAACTGAATATACAGAAACTTTTTAATTTGCCTAATGAAAGATGCATGCACTTTTGAAATAGATTTCACAAAGCCAAGGCACATTAATTCCAGACCTTCAGAGTTCAGGTCTCAAGAAAAACGCTCTCAGCAATGCTAAGCCCCCCTTATCTAGAATCACATTTGAATAATCACATTTTCCATCCTCTGCTTTCTATTTGTTTGAATTAAACCAGCAGTCCAGAGGAAAAAAAAGGAGGCATTTATTCTTTGCCAACCCTCTTCCACATCTCACATACATGCTCAGTTCCTCTGGCTCGGGGCTAGTGTGTACCTTGGCTTTGTATGTTTTAGCTTCTAGAAAAATATAAGCTTGGGTTACCTGATGGCACTTCCCAGACACCATATTAAATTTAGAAGCCAGGCTTTGTCCTCCCAACTTATAGCTTTTACCTTACCCTGTGCAGTAAACACTAATGCTTTAAATATTTTTTTTTAAAGACTCATGAGTTAAACAACACACTCACGTGCAACAGGTGACCCACCCAAATTCCTTGTATGTAGTTTGGGCAGATATGACTATACCAGAGACACACTACTCTTTCCTGACTGTATTAACTGGTCCTGATGGGGCAGAAAAATGTTTTGCCAGGAGGGAGCTCAGTTTATTAGTTCTAATGTTCACTAATGCTGTCTAAGTCAGACATTCTGAATTTTTTATTTAGCTTAAATGACATACTGAAAATTGCAAAGTATAGAAAGATCTAGATTACAGTTTAATGGGATACACAAGTATGTGACATACTGGGAAATACAGAGGTGAGGGAAAAGGATAAGGTTTAAATGGTACATTATGAAATCACTTCATGAGAAAAAAGAAGAAAGCTTGATGTTCTAAGAGAAGCATACAGGCAGCAAGCACCACCTGCACAACTTTAGGAAATGTTTTTCTAGACACAATCTTATATCTGACAAAGCCAAGCTATTCTGTTATCGTCTGAGAACAAGTTAGTGACGTATCAGGCTTTCTCTCTTGTTATAGGCTTTTAGTTTAATATCGAGTATGCTCTCTTGTTACACTCTATGGGCAGAAAACATGCTGCACTTGTCAAAGCATGGATCCTAGGATCTAAGTAGCCTTTCACTTGTAGTTTAAATAAAACTCCAAAGTGGATTTGTCAGGATAGGCACTTGCAAAGAGGCTATACCACCCATTACACATAATATAGTAAATGGACTTCCACAGCCTTCACTATCTTGGCTGTTCCTTGCCCTAAATGACTGCAGACCAACATTTCCAAACCTGGGTTCTTATACTCAACACAACCTGCAGGTGTTTAGCACCTGAGAATAAAGCCAATCTTAGTTTACTGTGTAAATATAACATAAGAATATACTGTCCAGTTCAAAAGTTCCATGGCATGTGTGCCATATTACCCTAATCTCACAAGAACAGACTTTCAGGCTCTGTGTTGGATGAATATGAGTAAGCATCCATTTATAGCTCAAGTACAGGAAACCATCTCTCATGTCACAACACTGCAAGCTAAGTTTCGTTTATCCTAAGAACACACAATAAAGAAGCTACAACATGTGCTGCAGAAGGAGTAGGGCACACACACACACACGGAAAGCAACTAATGGGAATAAGAGGCCAACTGGAAGAGAAAGCATCTGATCTACAGTGCCTGAGGAGGATTAAGTTACAGCAAGATAGGCAAGTCAATGAAAAATAACTGTGCATCAGTTTCTCCTTCATTTTAATCAGAGAGGTTTAAATCCATTGTCACTGGTGAGATTGGAAAGACTTGTTTTTAAACAGAAACTAACTTTTCAAAACTAATACAAAGAAAATCTGGCAATATTTAAATAAAATATACTTGATGTAAAATTTTCCCTTAATCAAAAAAATACAACGGGTCTGACTTTGAATAGAATTATACCCAAAGCAATATGGAAAAAAAAAACTCAGGAGAGGGGGTTCACTGCAGAAGGACTGCCTGTTGTTTGAAGGCAGCCCCCTCTCACTCCCTGACCGCCCAGCAAAGCTGCTAGCTGCCAGGCGCTTGCTCCTTGCCACGCAGTGCCCTCTCGTGCTGTGCACCAGGGAGCTGGCAGAAGGCCATTTCTTCAGGCAGGCCCAAGGTGCCCACCACCCTGCCCTGCCCACCCCTGCCCTTCGACCAGGCCCACCTGGCTGGTCTCAGGCTGTTCTCCCTATAGCTTATCTCAGCTCCTCCCATCCCGAGGGCTGGTGCGTGCGCGTTAGCTTTTCATTTCCTGGCTCACGAAGCTTTAAATTGGGGTTATCTTCAGTCTCCTCCCAAGCCTCTCACATACTTAGTTGAGCAAGAAGATACTAACACCACACTAGCTTTACAAGCCCACTAAGCATCCTAAGAGGCACGCCGTGTTTCAAGGCAATCCAAGCAAGCTTATTTTAGAGAACTTACAAACCCAAAATTTCCACAGAAAGGAGCTCTCAGAGAGGTATAAGGTGGCCTAATTTTAAATATAGGCAAAACAGTTCCTTCAAAGGGATTTATTTCAACTCATCTAGAGAGTCATCAGGAGACAGGGTAAATACAAATCAAGTAACATCTTCATTTTCATTTTTTCCTGCACTTCGCAATCAAATAGCTCCCATCACTAATGCTATATCAGAGAAGAGCTATGATTCATTTTAAGGAGATCAAATAAAGTGTAAAATAAAACCTAGGAATAACTATATTAATCAGTAACCACTCCACATATAGGTATAGTGCACGTTGAAATAAAATCTACCAGTTACTCATTAATCAGAGTATATAGCAAATCAGTTCTACAAGTCAATCTAAGTCTAGCAGTTCAGTAAGGAAAGGGAACTGAACTGTTCCTCCGTAGGAGCAATGAAACCTGTCAACTAAATTTCTCCTATACATCCAATATTTGAACTGAGTATCAAATAAAACAGTCCTCGGAAAGTTGTCTTAGAATACTGGCACAAATTTCTTGGCTTGCATACAAGCACAACATTCAGTTTACAACACAGCATGGCTCAGTTCTGCAACATGGTCTACTTATGCTCTTCCATAAACCTGGCTATGAGAGAGGAGTTGGTATGCTTACCATGAAACCATGCAGATCAAGTGCTGAAAATGCTGAAGCAAGCAGTGAAATTAGAGCTGTTCTTGTAATACAGCAATACTAGATGCTTATTCAGTTTTGGGAGTATTTGCCAATGAATACACTGATATCATTTAAGAGTGCATGTGGGGAGATGCTAAGCAAAAAAGTAGGTGGGGAAAAAAGCAAAGACAAGTAGTTTACTTTGGAGTCTCCAAGAACTGATACCTGAGATCCACTTACACAAAACACTGCAGATAAACAGAGCTCACGCTCACTCTGTTCCTAGACTGTGGCGACCCCAAGCTGTGTTACTAAGGTGCTGAGCCTGAGCCAGTACGTTTTTTTTATTTGTTGTTATGTTAGCATACTTGCATAGCTTTTGAAACTGTCTCAGATCTCACTGGGTCAACACGCAGGTCAGTTAAGCTTATAATGTTTGATACATACTGCCAAAATGAGCCCACAGGTTACTACAGCAATAGTTAGGTCTACAAGGAGAGCTACAAAATCCCATCTCAGAGGGGAAAGCACAAGGCCGAGTGCTTGCAGGAAAGTAATTTTGACCAAATGGGTTAAAAGACAGTATCATTCAAGATGACTGATAAGATGAAATAATATCCTATTTTAAGATGTTCCATTAAGTGTATTTGAGCATTGTTAATTTTAAGAAGTCATTTGTCTTTGCTGACATAAAAATCAAAGTAATATTATGATTCCCAATCCCAGCTATATGTTTAGAACAAAGCATCCGTTGCAAGGCAGACCAATCAGTATATTGTACATATCACAGGAGTTTTTCTCACTCACATTTCCATCATGATTGGGGCAGGAGAGTGGCTTGCCTGCAGCAACAGCAGTGACAGTCTCCAAGATGGAGGACTCTTCTATGCTGTTGTCTGGTGTTCGTTGCAGGACATCCATCAGGTTGGTGATAAAGAAGTTGTTCTGGAGTGCAGAAACCCCTTTCTCTGGCAGAATGGAGGTCTGGCGGCACACGGGGCAAGAAAGGGTTAAGCTATGGGCTGGAATGTAATTCTGTAAGCACCTGTTGGGAAGGGAGGTGGAAGGGGAGAAAGAAAGAGAAAGAAAGTATCAAAGAGGGGAAAAAACCCTTCATTTACAAATTGGTTTGAAATAGTGCTATCTCTACTTTTGAAAGGAAAGGTAAATCATATTCCATGCTTCAGGAATAAAAATGATCACGGGGATTTTTTTCCTTTAAGTCTTTACTTCCCCTGCCACATGAAAAAAAGATCAATAAGCTGACATCATTGTGAGTTATGTGCCTTTCTTTGAGACATCTGTTCTACTGAGAATGCTTTCCATGCTTTGAGACACCTACTGCATCCTACTCACAGGAGAGTAAAAATGACAAACTATCAGATAAAGTTTGATAGATACGAAATTCCTGCATCAAGAATTTGAGTCTGTGCTTCAACTGACTAACCGGTGGCTGACCTTTGTCTTTCCAACAGACTCTTCTTTATTAACTTGTATCTGTGGATTTAGTGTTTCAGAGCTGAAATGTGGTCCCAGTGAAACCAATGGAAGTTTTTCTATTTATTTCAATTAGGAAAGTTATTTGGCAGTTACCCAGAATCAACAGCGCTCATTCGGCTTTGCTCTTTCCTACACAGAGAAGCATGTCCCATTTTAGCCCAGTTCTGTGTTGAAGAGTTTTTCTCAGTTTTTTTCTTTTAAGAAAAGAAATTAAATCTCACAAAATACAAATCTGACACAAACAAAAGTTCTGTGACCGACAATGTGCAGGAGACTGGTCTAGGTGAACAGTTAGTGCCCCTTTTGGCCTTGAAATCCAGTAACAGCTGCTGGACATGCAACATCTGACTGCAACTGGCAATTCAATATAGTCCTCTAAACACAGGGAGCTTCACAGAAAGCAATTCTTCAGGCATCTAAAAGGGGAGCAGTGTTACACCAAAACGTTCATGAGATGCCAACCAAGAAAGTGCAACCCCACACAGCTATGTTACACTCATCCTCTTTCAAGGGCTTTGCTTGTACCAGTCTTCAATCTCCCTTGGCATCCCTCCTCCTGCCTCCCCCTGCAAAAGGAGGGCTTAGGCTTTGCACACGAACACTACACCAGAGGAGTTCTTCCAGCCCCTCTCCATAACCAGATCAGCATAAGAGGATTACAGTAAAAACCAGAAGCTGACCTTAGGATTTGCACATGAACTGAAATCAAGAAACTTGAGACTTGATGGTGAAAACCTTGACTTCACTGACTTCAGTGAGAGTTTCACTGCTGACTTCAGTGAAGTCAGGTTTTCCTCTTCTTCTACAAAGGGCCACTTCACTTGATACACTCAGAGATCAGTAATTTTTCTTGCACCCTATAAAATTAGACATACACACTGCAATTTTAACCAAGAGTAAGAAATCTCCTGAACTAAGCATTCACATGACGTATCATTTATTATAATACTTCTGCCATTCAATATATAACCCAAGGAGCTGCATCCCATCATCAGATCAAGATCTCTAATGAATAATTCTTCAACTAACTTTTCTGAAACGCTGTATTCTTTCCACAGTTTGATGGATAATATAACATTAAAGTTTCACTAGCAACGTTCAGTTCACTCAGCTGAATACAATAGAAGGCAGGCTGCTGTTTTTTCTCATCTCTTTTCAGAGAGTTTTTCCACTTCAGTCAACGAAGCTGCAGAATAATGAGGACATTTAATCACTGGCTATTAATAATGTATACATCATATCTAACCCTTGGACATTAAAGGACAGGATAATTATTCTCTGCTCAGTAAATCAACAAAGAAAGGTTTTTATTGTTTCTAATTATAGACTAATCATTACAAATTTGAGGCTATTAATTTGAGGTCCAAATTCTTACTGCCGCCACCACCTTTCACAATGGTGTAACAATACTCATTAGTTTCATTGGATTTATTTTTTATTTACTCTTGCATAAAGGAGAACGTATCCAAAATATTCTGCTGCTGTCTCTTCTTACTGCCCACTACAAATAACAGTCTTTGTCTACATTCCTGCCTCTCCAACCTTCCCAAACTTTATCATGTCTTAACGTGACCTTTACAAGTAAAGAGAAAAGTCACTGTTCACTAAAGAAGGGAAACGTTCTGTGCCAATTAGAAGACACAAATATCTAGTTGCAAACATGGGAAAAGGTCTTACCTCTCACAGAAAGTGTGCAGGCAGGGAAGTACTTTGGGGTTCTTGTAACGGTCCAGGCATATGCTGCAGATCAGAAACTGCTTGTCAATCTGACGGACCACAGGACTTGGGATGTTTGAGCCTTCACTGGCCATCCTAGACCATTGACATATGGGTCCTGTTCCCTTCTACCCTGCACACTGCTGGAGTGGGACAGACAGAAAGAAAAAGAAGAAAAATGGCTCATAAACTTCATGAAATAACAATATCAGCAACCAGTTCACTCATGCTTCTTCCTGATGTAGGAATTCATATTTCTATATAAAACCAAAGCAGCGGAGAATTAAGCTTTTCAAATATTTTGTCACTGTTGAGAGCCCGGGAAACAGTCAACACCACCATCTATAGCAACTCTTTCTGAGTGGACGTTCTGGAAAGGCATATTGCCTCCAGTCTGTAAGAGTTACAAGGCTGTCTAGTTTTAAAAACATCCCCTGATAGAAATGTTCTTGCACCAGTAGGTTCAGCCAGTGCTAACAAACATACAGGTTCTTAAGTCTACAATACAGTTGGCAAAATGCTTAAACTGGAACTGTACCAGCCAGTCAAATGGCTGTGTCACAGAGAGTTTGAAAGTGGTTCACCTAACATTTTTTCCTTATCAGGACAGGTGGAGCCAAAGATTTAGTAGCTTTAGACTCTAGCAAGCCCCCGAAAAGGAAGCTTCAGAATGAACCAGCCCCTGGGAATGGAGCGCTCTATTCTGCATCAACAACAGAAGTGGGGTAGGTGAGGTGGGAATCCTCAGAATGAAAGAAAACTTAGCAAACGAGAGGCAACTGAACCGTCCCATTCATCAGACAAGAGTAGCAGCTGCTCAGAACCAGCAAAGATGGGCGAGGGATATGTGAAGCGTGTCCCTCAGAAGAGCAGCATTCTGGGCAGAAAGGAGTCATGCTTCTATGGCTGAAGTCTCTTCATAAGCCTGGCATAAACAAAATGAAATGAATGGGAAAGGCAAAAGTCTACCAGCTGACAATTCAAACTGCAGGTTGTAAGAACCCCCAGCAGGCTGGGAACTCCTCCTCTCTTATATGGAGAGAAAAACCGAAGTTTCTTCTCAACCAGATGCACAGTTTATGGACAACAGGATTCATATGAGTAGAGGAAAAAACAGGGAGGAAAAGAAAAGAAACAACTACAGAGAAAAGTGAAGTACATGTTAAAATAGATTAGGAAAACCCACTGGGACAAGCGGAGGCTCTGCCAGGACAGCCTAACAAGAGCTCTTCTCCATGAGCGTTTTATCAAGGTGCGTCACTTGAGGCTGGAGCACTCAGAGGTGCAGGCTCACTCCCCACAGCCCGGGAAACCCACCGCCGCTTCTCTCTGGGCGCCTGCCTCTGCGGGTCCTGCTGCCCCTCGGGAGGGACGCAGCCACCTTACCCTTGTGAGCAGCCAGCCCAGCTTTATTCCTGCACTGGAGAGATTCCTCCTCAGGTAGTCACTTCTGCCTGAAACATCTTCTACCTCAGTTTTTAGTCATTCGTTTCAGCTCATTTCGTATTTGGGTTAGGCCTCCTTTGGCTATCTGCCTCAGAGGGTGACTGTGCTTGTTCAAAGGTCGCTCAGGTTGCACAGTGATTTCTGTGGCCCGCTGCATTTTATAAGCGATGTTAGGTCTGCTCTCCTTCTGGTGCTGACTGTACGGGCATATTAATCTGACAGATCTGAACACAGGTTGTTTTTCTTGAGCTGAGCGTTTAGCTGTACAGGTAGGCAGGTACAGTTTACTTACTCTATTGTGCAACTGACTGTTCCTAGGGTGATGGCCATGGCTGTGAAACATGCTGTACCGACTCCTCTGATAACAGATTCCCGTGGAATCACCTCTGCACAAGCACAGCAGCATAAAGTTACTCACAACTAAAATACCCCAAAGCAGTAACTGACAGGTAACTTGCTGCATAAAATTTTTATGCTGGGCACTTTTGTTTCCTTCCTGGAAAAAGGGGAATCTCTAAGGTGAAGAATGGCTACAGTCATCTTAAACTGCAATGCTTGTGCATGAACCAGAGATACGTTATTTCAGACTTAATCACTTGTTTCACTTTTTTCATTTCTTTCCCCATAACAAAGTAAAATCTGTTAATATTACATAAACACAAATTAAATTAACCTACTGCCATAAATCATACACAAAAACCCTAGGAGATCAGTTATGAAGGTATGTTACTTTTTAAAAGCTTGAGTTAAAAATGGTTTTATGAAAAGTGGAACCAAAATATCCAGCTTTTGCAAATGGAAGTAGTAAGAGCAGACCACCCAACAGGTATTAACGTATTCATGAATTAGGCTGTGTAACATGGAGATCTTTAGTGATGTGCTTCAAAAGAAAATGTATTTCACCACTGATTCACTTCTGCTTGCCTCCCACTCTCCTACCCAAAACTGCTGGGGCTGGGGTGGGGGTGTTTAACCAAACAAAGAGACAAGAAAACCAGAAAAAGGAAGACTTATTGTCAAAAGTACAGTTTCCTAACTGGACATATAGGAACAATATAATTTTTGGTACAGACTAAGCACAGACTATTAAAAAAAAAAATTGTTCTTAAGAATATGAAAAAATACCTTCCCAGTGAATGCTGCCTGTCATTAAGAAAACAAAGTTCCCTAGCAATCAACTAGCTGATTCTCTATCATTTCATCTTTCTGACACGAAGAACAGTCACACCAGCAGATAGTGTTTTTACAAGAAAAACTCCTGTTATCTGAAAAAATTCGTATCATCTGATCTTCACTCTAGTCTTTTACATTCCCCCGATCTCATTGTAAAATCAGATGACTCTTAGTGTTTCAAACACAGGTCTCATCCCAGCCACTTTAATCTTCAAGTATTCACGCTTTTAACTTTGTCAGGGAAATAAACCACTTCTGAGAGTTCAGAAGTAAGTGCTTCTAATATTTGGCATTTTTTCTGGAACACAGTAGGCCATGCCTGTCATTTATCCTCTATGCTTATGCGAATCATGTTTAAAATACGCACCTGAAAACAGAATTTGGTCTGTACGCTTCAAGTTTTGGCTGCTACATGGTATAACAACACCTTTAAAAAGTGGTTCAATTTCAAAACTTTCTAGAGTATGTCATTTTCAGGACTGCACATCTGATTCTGCAACCTCACTGAGCCAAATTCACCTTAGACGCAATCCTCCCGAACGGGATGTAGCTGTGGAAGTGATCATTTTGCCCACTGTCTCAATGCAAGCAACTGTATAACAAAAGACTGTTTGAGGAGAAGCTGCAAATTTTAGATGGTGCTTTTGAATTTGGCCAAAGACAGAATTTATTCTGACTTGTTGTAGAGGTAGCAGCAATTCCTCAGAACAACAGCCTAAGTTTCAGAGATGCTGGCAGTGGGAGAAATAGCAAAGTAACAGTATTTTTACAAGAAAAACATTCTTTTATATAGTAACATCTTCTGAACTCAAAAATTGCTAGAGTTCTTTTTGGAGATTCGTTTTGTCTCTCAATCTGATAAAAGGCAGCCAAAGCAAAAGCTCTGAAAATCAGTAAGATCTGAGAAACAAATCTCCACATATTTGCACTTCTTAATTTAAACTTGCAAAACCAAAGGTTTAGGAGGCATTGCACCAGACAAGACATAAAACCCCACCCATTTATCTCTAAGAAGCACACACTCAAAACCTAGTTCAGGTTTGCCAAATCAAACGCAGAAAAGGGCTCTGGAAAGTATACCCTTTGTCACTCAAATATTTGAGGCTGAAGGATTGTGATCTTTCCAGCCACCCTGGAGATGACACTGTTCTCTTTCCTTCTGCTTGGAAATATGTTTTTCAGTTTTCACTCTCAATATTCTATACAGCAAAGAAGAGAGAAAACAATGGCTCTATGAGATAGCGTAAAGCCTGGCTCTGCTAAGTGTGCCTGCCTTCAGGAATGAATGCCAGGGTGCGGCCCCACCCATACGAAATGAACTTCCTATAGATTTAGAAAAGGGGAAAAAAATGTTATAGTACAGCAAATAACAGTTCCAGAAGAGTTGTTTTAAATAAATAGAGCCATTAAATAGAAAAGTGCACCCCTTCTACAAGTATCTTTAAACAAGCTCTGGATCAACAGCAATCAAATTTTCTATTAGATCCCATGGACTGGCCAAGCAAGAGACCCCGGGAACGCTTATAATGGTCTGTTCAATTCCCAGGATTTATTCCTCTGCTACAAAATCCGCTGCTATCACCGAACTCCACCCAGCCAGAACAGCAACTAGACTCTGCCTGAAAGTACAGCCCGAGGAGAACAAATTGCTTGCTGCTTGTTCATCTTCTTATCAATGGTATTCACAACGCAGAGGGGCTATTCACGTATTATGAATGAATAGGTTTCCAATGGCAACGTTCGCAAAGGAACAGTTAGGCCTCAAGAGCCGTAAGAAAGGGTGGGGAACCTCAATAATGTTGCTTCAGAGCTTGGGGGAGCAGGGGGTAAAACTCCTTAAACCAAATACATTGCCTGTCCGCTCTTCTTCGAATAAAAGAGATTCAAGCCAAGATTATAGCAGCAGTCCCAAAATTAGCCAATACAGAACACAGAGTAAATGAATAATCATAACCAGCACGTAGCCCTCTTGTACAAAGGGCTTGATAAGCTAAATTCGCATTCCTTTCTCTCCCACTCTTCAGTCGGCTTGGTGCCTTGTTGCTTAAAGCACAGCAGCCCTCCTCATTCTTACAGCATGCAGAATTATAACGAACAAATCGGGGCCCAAACAGAAGGAGCAACCCAGCAGCAGCCACCAGGAATAACACTGAGCAAACTTGAGCGTTTTAGACCTACCCATCTTCGTAGATAAGTAGCTTAATCAATGCAGCGCTGAGGATAAAATCCTTGCAGGGACGGAGCTGCAGTTCCGCAGTAATCCAAACGAACAAATCATCATCTGTTAATATTTCAAGCTTAAGAGCCTCACACGCAAAACTGCTTAAGAATCCCTATCACAGCACTGTCAATATTAGATGCACAACGTATTTTGTGCTCTAAGGAATGATGCTCCATTCCACGAAGAGGGCAGGCAGAAAGAAAAATGGAAGAACAAGAGGAGGCCCAGTGAAGTCGTCATGAATTTTTTTTTTTCCCCCGGGTCATTTACAAGTGGGAGACCCCTTCAGGATGCAAACCAATCAATCTTTATTTAGCACATCTTTTTCTCACTCAGCCTGTGTAGAAAGACTGCAGCAAACCGGGCAAGGGATTGTGGGATAGGGATGCAGCAGAGAGCTGCAACCAGATTCGCTGGGTTATTTTTTTTTTCCTCCCTAGTCAGCAATCAGCTGTTTCGAGGCTCCGCGCAGGGCCATTGAATTTGGTCACCAGAATGTTATTACAGGATTAGCAGGCGGAGACAGCTACCACTGTGCATCTGGCATGTCAATGCAGCTAGGAAATACATATGCAAATGTTACTCGCAAATCGGAAAAAGGATTTAACTCGGAAGGGGAGAGTAAATATTACGTAACGTAATTACCAGGACGGCAGCTGAAGTGAAAGCACTTTCATTTATAAAGGGAGATAAAGCTTTACACGTACTGATTTCACTCCAGCGTTTGGATTTTTCCAGCGTTTGGAATAGGATAAAAAAAAAAAAAATCTCCCCTGCTCCAACTTGTAGCAGCAACAAAAGACCCCCCCGAAACGTTCTCTGTCTCTCCAGACGTTTAAAGCAGGAGCAAAGAAATCTCTTCTAAAAGCTGTGCTACTGACACGCAGACCAGCAGCAATTTCTTATACCACAGACCTGCCTATTTGACTAGACCCATAAGCAAGGCAAATATTTAGGGCAGCAATTAGTACCCTCATAGTCAAGGAACAAGAGAATCAAAGCTAACAGTCTGTTAAACTTCTGTGCAAACACTAATGCCAAGCTCTAGTCTGCTAGTTAACCTATTTACTTATCTCCCCCCCCACACCCCCCAAAAAATCACAGATCAGTTGAGGTTACCAAAGGAAATAAACAAAAGTTTCATTTCAGTGGTATTTTTCAGATGCACTGAGAAAGACATTCAAAAGCTGCTGGTGAGCACACAGAAACTACTGAAGTAAAGCAACATAAAATTAGCTTTGTCCTCCAGTATAACAGCTGGTGTTTTTGAAGACAAGGTAGTATTTGCATCTCTAAATACAGCGAATCTTTTCTTTTGAAAAAAATCACATGCAAGTATTCCCACTACCTGAGGCTAGCAAAGCTTCCCACAAATACAAGGACACTAAGGTCCATTTGCATTAAGAATAAAAAATGTTGGTTTTACATACTAGCTCTGCTAATCTGACTGAATTAGAACAGATATAGTTATTTCAGAAATCACAGTGTAAAATACAGCTGTAAGCTCTTCAAACACCGTTTCCAAAATACACTTTTCCATTCTCGGACCGACCAGGCAAATGGCATTAATAATCATTTAGCAAGGGCAACTTCATCTAATTCCTGCTAAAAATATAGATTCTCTATACACCATTTACTTTCCACTTGCAATCATTTAGCCAGATTGCTTTCAAACATCACACAGCTCCAGCCTGGCTTCTCTGGCTATTGCCCACAGGGCTAAAGCATGCTGCAAGCCAGTTTATAACATGAAATGAAACAGCAGGGGTGTGTGTGCCTGTGCGCTTGTGCCAAAATATTCCTCCTCTGTTTCCCTCAGCATGTGCTGAACTCTGACAAAGAGAGCAAGCAAGGTATTTTTTGTTTTACCTCCAACATGCAGCAGGTCAGAAGTAGCAGCAATCTGCACAGCAGGACTGACAGTTTAGAAGAGGCACAGGCACAGTTTAGATAAGAGTTTCAGGCACATTTTGTTGTTTCCCGAACTGTCCAGAGAAACCCCCGTTACGAAGAGCAAGCAACGTTCTTCACTCCCACAGCAAGCACAGCCAAGGCCTTGCGTTTCTGCCACTTGAACAACGGCACATTAAAACAAAAGTCAAGAACAAGAACTCAGAAGCGGCACTCCCTGACCGAAGGTGCAAGACTTTCACATAGGAGCAGGCAGACCTCACTTCGCTGCTTGCTTTTCCTTGCTCGTTCCTGGCATCAAATTTACACACAGTAAGACAGAATGACAAGTATTGCTCAAATGACTAATTCCACTTACGTTCAGCAGTATGGACTACATACCCCCCCAAACCAGAACCGATCCCATAACATACCTCATGGTCAGAGGAGAACTGCAGGAGTCACAGCTGCAGCCACTCTCACAACGAACTACGACACCGACTGAGAGCGAGGCAGAGGATTGCCTCTAAGTGCAGTTCTCTTATAATTAACTCCTAGAAGCCGCCTGCCAACAATGATCTTATGTTCTGCAAATAATTCTGCTTCTTCAACAAAACAAAAATGCGGTACCGTGGCAAAGAAAATGAGACAACAGTCATAGCATTTCCCTTGACACTTTTTGTTCTTGCATGTTTAATGTTGACATGTGGGTTTCTTCTCCCTAGCGAAAAGGAAATGGATTTGCAGCTCAGTGAACAATCTTGCACTTTACCCCCATACCAGTTACTACTAGCCTGTTTCAAATAGGTTTATTGTGTATTTGTGCTTGTGTTTTGAGGGTTTTTTTTTTTAAACAAGCTACTTTCCCACAGAAATTTGCTGCACTCATCTTTGCTGCTGATTTAACAGTTAAGTAAGTTCTTAAGAGAAAAGATACAGCACATGCCATCTTCACAGTGACATGGAAAAGGGTGCTCTGGCCCTGTTATCACCCTCTGTAATGGTCATGGTTTTTGAATAATTTGTTCTTTTCCCTGCTCCAAATGAAACATGAATTCTTATTCTTAGAGAGCTCATAAACGGCAGCTAATTTATAGGCTACAGCTAGCTATTGCTATATTATTCCCCAATATTAAATAAATCTTCCAAACATTCCAGGTTAAGATTAATGATCTATGTTGAAGTTTCTACTATAAATTGACAGAGGAGACAATAATCTAACTCAGGGTGCTGTACAAAAATAAACTTTATGGTCAACAGAAGAAAAAACCTATTTGATTAGCCCAAACTAAATGGCTAACTAATACAGTCCTATAAAGGGATAAGACTGTGACTGGAAAATAAAGAGGTGGGAGAGACCAGAAATCAATTAGCCAAAGCCTGCGTGCTGGGAACGAGGGCTAGTTTGGGAACACAAATATAGGAGAGAATGAGCTGTTCCACCCGTTACCCCGCTCCGAGTCCTTAATATAAGCCAGATGCCAGCAGGGCAGGTGGCGTGAAACAACCAAGCTCTGTCATTGTGGGACCATGCCCACACCAGGAACCACAGGGCTTTAGTCGTCCTGACGAGACAGAGCCAGCTGAAGAGACGAAGATGACACTTTTGCCTTTCCCCACTACAGCTTTGTGTCCGTACAGCCCCAGCAGCTCCCACAGAGTGAGTGCAACCTCCAGCTCTGGTGCCACGTTCTCCAGCGGCCCAGGCTATAGCTTGCATTTGCAGGGAAGAGACACAGCTTCCTTCCACTGTGGGCCCCGCTTGCAGCCAGAGGGCACGTCTGCCCTAGAAAGAGCTTTGTTGGGTGCTTGTTCCTCATCACAGCCACAACCCAGGGCAATGATCACTCCCCCATCTTGTGATCCAGTGAAACAGATGCTCTTCCCTCAAGCTTGCGACCCAACACATGGCTTGTCATAGCCCAGCAGGCAAAGAACTTGAAAGGTTTGCCTAGGATGCAATGCTAGGCTGCTGGAGAGCTTCCCAATCCCCACAGCGCCAGTCCTTCTCTGCCTTTGCCACCTTATTCTATTTCCTTCTACCTTCTGCTTATGCCTAGTTTAGCATGCCAAGGTTGCGGCTTTTGTAGCACTACTGCAGTCAGCCAGGCAGCTACGAGAAACGGCTGGAACAGCCCAGCCTCCCTGCTCTACCAGCACAAGTTTGGTTAAAACGCCTGCAGTCCGTGCCTGTCTCCGGCACTGATGTCGCAAATCAGGCAGCACCAAACACTAACGGCCTTTTTTCCTCGTGTCATTCTTTCCGTTTCCCCATTTGTGTATTTGTCATTGAGGTGGCAGGACCAGATGCCACAGACACCAGAAACAAGCTCTCTGTTCTGGCATTTCTTCTAAGCTACAGTCAGCTCACCTTCAATACTGTTGTCAGATGCTGGTGTCACGAGTTAGGTTTCTTTTAAAAGCTTTTAACTGTTCAAGGCACAACAGGAATAGAAGCCACTTAAAAATGAAAGCCTTGCTTAATATTTTTACATGTTGAATGCTTTAGTGCTTTTTTCCTCCTTCCCTTCCTTGATCTGTAATAAAAGCTTACAAGAGAGTGCATGCCTGACATACGCAGGTGGTCCTCTTAGGACACCAACATACTAATGCTTGATATTCTGGTTTGTACAGAAGGGAAGGGTTCTGGCTGGCATCTAATACCGCTTTTCCTTCTTTCTCCTCATCCCCATGACTTCTACTTCCCTCTCCAGCCCCCTCCATCAGCTCCAAGACTAACTGCAATAGTCCTATTTCCATCTCCATGGACCTCATCTCCCCACTGTCCAGTCTTGAGATGAAGAGGAGACTTTCTGGCAGCTGCCCTACACACCAAAGAGCGAGATTAGCAGGTCAGAGCTCATGTCATTATTACAGTCATTATGCAACTGATACACAATATCTACTTTAAGGCTATTTTCCTATCTCAGGTTTTCAGGACCTCATTTTGGGCCAAGGGCTTGCACAGTTTACTCCAACACACCTGAAGCACCTCAGATTCACTGCACATGCAAAGACCACTGGAGTGCATGCAGTGGAACTCCAGAAGTCGCCAACCAAATGCCCAAAGTTCTCCCTAAAAAAACTTCAGAGGGAAAGGGCAAGGAATGAGGGGAAATGGACATCTTGAGGAAAATCCAGACAAATGGTAGCCTTACACTGTCATATCAGAGGCTAACTGTCCTCAGAGCTGTCGTTTGGGGCTCTTCCCATGCTTAAAAAAATGTCAATCGCGTTCTCAGGTTAGCTATTTAAAAAAAAAAAATTATCAGCACAGTGAGACAGGTCCAGGAAATCAGTTCAGGGGCTAGACGTCGTGCAGACCTAAGTAAAAAGGTTTTAAATAATCAAAGCATCCACCCAAAGCAGCACATCAGAGCATCTCTATTGAAAACCCCCTACCCTGCTTAACTGCTTCCTGCTGTTAACAAGACCCTTGTAACTGTACATTTTTG